CTTGGTAACATTGAGCTTGATTATTCTGCTTAGTGCTTTGTTGTGGTAGATTCAAGAGGCTGTTGTGGCACAGCATGCAGGCAGAAAGAAGTTTGCAGAGAGAATTGGCACTGAATCAGTTTTTTTGTTTTGTTTTATTGTAGTGCACTGACATCAAATATGGAAAACGCATCCATGTGCTTCCAATTGATGATACAATCGAGGGCCTCACAGGCAACCTCTTTGACACCTATCTGAAGCCCTACTTTCTGGAGGCCTACCGGCCAGTGAGGAAGGTGAGTGAACCTGGACTTACCATTTGCTGCCCCTTGCTGGGTGCTTGTACATCCATGCTCTTTGGTACCTTCATGCTCTGTGCAGTATTGATGCTGCCGCACACAATGGGGCAGGCTCAGTGCCAACCTTGCAGTCCAGAACTATGAAGTATGAATTAGAAAATGCCAACCTCACTGGCAATGGTGAGAGAACCTGGCTATGCCTTGTCAGCTGAGAGGGGAAGTGGTTGCCTATTGAAGCTATTGAAGGGATGGGCTTGCTGTGCTTGATCGATTAGGAACAAGACGATGAAGATCGCTGATCATACAGTGGCTCAACGATGTTTTGATAGTGGAGTGTTTGAATTTACACTGGAAGCCAGACCCTGCTGCTCTCGTAGAATGCCTGTCAGTCAATCCTTGATGGACTCCCACGCCTTTGAGTGTCCATGGAATAGCAATCAACAACCTATGGGCTAGCCCATGTACTCATCATTGAACAATGCACACATTATAAGACCTGGAATTGACTGACTTGGGGAATGTAGACAGATCCCCCTGTATCTGCCATACATTGCTCAGTTGTTGAGAATGGAATGGTAACCGACTGGCTTGCTACATGTGTACTGGTGGGCAATCAAGGTGCCTGAACTCCCGAACTCCTGCCAGAAGTTCCAGCTGCTACTTTGCAAGCTGAGAGAGGCATGCCTGGATCCCCTTAACATGTTATTCCACATGCCATCAGGTACAGCACACATTGTGCTCACATTGGCTTGTCTGCACTTGTATTTGGTGCACCATGGGCATGCCACGATACTAATGGCTCCCAGCTCCTGGACATGGAGTTCTCATGCGTATCTGTCTGTGCTCCGCCTGCAGAATGACAGCTTCCTTGTGAGAGGAGGAATGCGAAGTATCGAGTTCAAGGTGGTGGAAACGGATCCAGGGGAGTATTGCATCGTTGCACCTGATACTGCAATTTACTGTGAGGGTGACCCCATTAAGAGAGAAGACGAGGAGAAGCTGGATGATGTGGGCTATGACGACGTGGGTGGAGTCCGAAAGCAAATGGCCCAGATTCGTGAGCTGGTCGAGTTGCCCTTGAGGCACCCACAGTTGTTCAAGACCATCGGTGTGAAGCCGCCCAAGGGCATCCTGCTCTATGGCCCCCCAGGGTCTGGCAAGACCCTCATCGCGCGTGCTGTTGCCAATGAAACAGGTGCTTTTTTCTTCCTGATCAACGGTCCCGAGATCATGTCCAAGCTGGCTGGAGAGAGCGAGAGCAACCTTCGGAAGGCGTTCGAAGAGTCGGAGAAGAACGCCCCGGCGATCATCTTCATAGACGAGATCGACTCCATTGCCCCCAAGCGCGAGAAAACGCACGGGGAGGTGGAAAGGCGCATTGTGTCGCAGCTGCTGACCCTGATGGATGGGCTCAAGTCCAGGGCGCACGTTGTGGTCATAGGTGCCACAAATCGTCCCAACAGCATCGACCCCGCTCTGCGACGATTTGGCAGATTCGATCGGGAGATCGACATAGGCGTGCCTGATGAGGTGGGTCGGCTCGAGGTGATGCGCATCCACACCAAGAACATGAAGCTTGATGAAGAGGTGGATCTGGAGTCCATCGCGTCTCAGACACACGGCTATGTGGGGGCGGACATAGCGGCCCTCTGCACAGAGGCTGCCTTGCAGTGCATCCGTGAGAAGATGGATGTGATCGATTTGGAGGACGACAGCATTGATGCGGAGATCCTCAACTCCATGGCCGTCACCCAGGAGCACTTCAAGACCGCCCTGGGCACCACCAATCCCTCGGCCCTGAGGGAGACGGTCGTGGAGGTGCCCAACATCTCCTGGGAGGACATAGGCGGCCTGGAGGAGGTGAAGCGGGAGCTGCAGGAGATCGTGCAGTACCCCGTGGAGCACCCCGAGAAGTTTGAGAAATACGGCATGTCGCCATCCAAGGGCGTGCTGTTTTATGGCCCCCCTGGTTGCGGAAAGACCCTGCTGGCCAAGGCGATAGCCAACGAGTGCCAGGCCAATTTCATCAGCGTGAAGGGGCCAGAGATGCTGACCATGTGGTTTGGGGAGTCCGAGGCGAACGTGCGGGAGATCTTTGACAAGGCGCGGCAGGCCGCACCGTGCGTGCTGTTCTTTGATGAGCTTGACTCCATAGCGGTGCAGCGCGGCAACTCTGTGGGGGACGCCGGGGGGGCTGGGGACCGCGTGCTGAACCAGCTGCTGACTGAGATGGATGGCATGACGACGAAGAAGACAGTGTTCATCATAGGTGCCACGAATCGGCCAGAGATCATCGACCCTGCACTGCTGCGCCCGGGCCGCTTGGACCAGCTGATCTACATCCCTCTGCCTGACGGTGAGTCGCGGCGACAGATTTTCAAGGCAGTGCTGCGCAAGTCGCCTGTGGCACCGGACGTGGACGTCGAGGCCCTGGTCAAGCACACTAACGACTTCAGCGGGGCGGACATCACAGAGATCTGCCAGCGGGCATGCAAGTACGCCATCCGGGAGAGCATCGAGAAGGATGTAGAGCGCGAGCGGGCGAAGGCCAACACCGGGGAGGGGGATTCTATGGAGGTGGAGGAGGTGGATGACGTCCCCTTCATCACGCGGGCTCACTTCGAAGAGGCAATGAAATTTGCGAGGCAGAGCGTCACACAGACCCAGAAGCTGCAGTACGAGTCATTCAAGGAGAGCATGCGGCAAACTAGGGGCTTTGGGGGATTCCGGTTCACCGACCCCCCCGCCCAACCTGGCAATGCGCAGCCCAGCACGGACGGGGCCTATGCGCAGGCAGAGGATGACGATGCTGGCCTGTATGACTGATGCCAGCGTGTGGCTGCCGCCGTCGCAATGGGGAGCGTGCAGGATGCGTTGGGCGTCCCCAAACGGAAGGATGCGAGATGCCCAACGGCATGCACAGACGAATGTTTGGTTGAGGTGCAGAGGATGGATGGTGGTGTGCATGTGACGGTGTGCATTGATTGTACATTATTTCTTTGAGGCAGCCATATCATCAGGACTGAATGGGACAATCAAAGGCTACGGAGGTGGCAGGGTGTCCCACAGAAGTGCTGCTTCGTTCGCGCCATGCGCGACAATTCATTGGGCTCTTGTTGGTACGAGGCCACCCGCAGATGCCTGTGTCTGTTGATGTTTGTGAATGCTCGACAGTGTGGGTGCTGCGCGTTCTTGGTATTGTATGTTTGGGAATAATGTTGAAACTTGTACAGACGTAGGACGTGCCGAGCCTGGGCAATTTTGGACTGCCGCCTGTGACACCCCCTGCCGCCAGAAAAGGGGGTGGGCGGGCAGCTGGGTTGGTTTGAGTGGACGGTGGCGGGTCTGTGGCACGCATCGGAGATCGTGTCGCTTGGTGTATATGCAATGTTGGGATGAAAGTACGCACACCACGCCGCCATGGCGTATGGGCAGTCGTCTGCTTTTGGAATTGTAACGCGGTTAAGACGTCAAAGCAAAAAGAATAACAAAGCGCACAATACCCACGAAGTTGTACGAACACGAGTCGCGATACAAGGAAAATGACGATCTCCGCCGGGTAGCTCACAACCTGCCACTCATTATGAGCTCAGGACAATGGAATCAGGAATACTCGTGACGGCTGTCACCGCGCGGCGCACCACCGCACAACATTGTCTGATGCGCACAACACCCCACACGACAAACCCCCCCGCATGCGATGGGGCCCATGCCCCACGAAGTCGCTGCCACGCCAACTCTCATGACGATTTGCACGACACGATCGACCGCCATCCCCATACCTTTGAGACTTCAAACCCCTACCTCGTTGAACCGCAGGCGAAGCACGGTGCGCCACAGCCAGGGACATGCGTCGGTGTGTGGCCCTGCAGACCATGTCGGATCTCAGCGCCATCATGCACGTCAGACAAGGTCAGACAAGATGGATGACGCCCATGGCCACACACTGGTGACACTTCGAAGGAATATCGTATCAAGCAGCAAATTGGCACGGCGTTTCAATCGACCACCACAGCTCGGAATTTTCAACGCTTTTTGACTACAGGATGTAGTAGGGGTGCGTTGTCCTGCACTTACCTGGCATTTACACACAACTGTCACCCCAACCCGTCATCAGGACCCCCTGGGAGTCGGAAGGCCTTCGACATACGTTTGACGCTCTCCCTTCCCACCACACCACTGAAGATACCGAGCCAGTTTCCAGTTGCACACTGCGAGCGCCGAGGTCAAGCCACAGCGTTGCACAAAGCCACGGGCCCGTGGCCCCCAGGGGTGAGCGCGAAATCTGAACGACTGCTGGTCGGACAAACGGGCGACGGTACTGTGGTCGCCGAGTGGTGCATTAGCACACCGATGTGTTGTAAACAGGATATACAACTGCGATCGACAGCGCACCACCGACAAGTATCTCCATGACAACCTGTCCAGCGGCTGACGCGAGACATGACTACCCACACGGTGTTTCATGACCAATGGCAGCGTGCACGTGGCTCCATTCAATACATCCACGTACGCGTATGTTGATGTACATTATCAAACTTCTGCACTGAAGTGTGTGCTCAAGTCCGGGGATCACCCCTACGGGTGATCCTCGGACATAAGCGCTCACTTCGGTACAGAAGTTTGCTAATCTAGAATCAAACAGAAATGCCCGTTCGTTGCACTCTGGTCTTTTGATGCCATGAATGTCCCGCGCATTGACATCACAAGCCCTGTAGCCACGGCAGAATTCTTCTCATGAACTTTGAAGCCCATTGTCCCCCAAATCAATGTCAATGTTCCCCACCAGTCAAAATAATCCACATCGGCCAGATTGCAGTGCCCACGGCACTCAGGCACAGATGTCGAATCTGCTTGTCCAACCCACCTTCACGCCGTCCTGTGGCTTAACAACCATACCTCCAAGCCAGAAGGGGGAAGCTTTTGCCCCTCGAGATATGAGCTCATGATCCATCTCCGCAATCCAGTGCACCCCAGATTCCCACACACATTTCTTCCCCCAAAACAGGCCGGTATAGGATACATCCTCTATGCATGTGTGCCTATGCATATATTCGCATTCTGAATGTGGTGCATGCATACACAATACACACATTAATGGACGCTTTATACACGAGGATTCTGCACCGCGGCCCCATCAATAAATTAATGGATGCGCAGCATTGCACGATGGCTGCTGGTCCATCCATATCGGCAACCCGGAAAGCTTGCCCCATGAATCGAGCGCCGCCATGCTTCCTTATGTGATATCAGGAGTCACTTTGATCAAACAGCAATCTGAAAGATGGACTGAGCCGCAGCCGGGAGATCACAGTATTCACCCTCATTCTACCTTAAGCAGCTCGTCGTTCTCAGGCGTGATCGACCACAGTGACAACACCAATTACATCGCCACACAATCCACGTACCTATATTTATCTGCAGGCCTTTGGAATGATGGATATCACATACATTCGGCTCCCATGGGCCTACGCACAAGGGCTCTCACGAGACTACTGTGGTATGGATTCAGCACAGATACCGGCAGAAAACGGCATGTTCGCGATGCCAACTGCGATGCCATTTTGACACAAAGTGATGCCGTCACAGTGATTGAGATGGCATAAAAGCGGCTGCGATGGCATCAATTTGTGTCAAATGGCGTCACAATTGGCATCGCAAACAGGCTGTTTTCTACTGGTGACAGATTCCCCTTGTGCGCCCCATGATTGTCTTGCCGCCGCACCAGCCACATTTGGCACTGCAAAAGCCAGATCCACTAACATGTTATCAAGACGAGGTTGCCCTGTCGCTCTCCCGCTTTCTCACTTTTCTAGGGAATTCATTGGACACAGCCATCACGCGACCGATGTTCATGATAGACAGCCACGAACCTCAGGTAATTGTGCACCCCTATCGGCACCTCCATGCTGACAGAGTGGGGCACATTTCAAGCATGCCTGGCGACCTCAGAAAGCCACGGCCCTCACGTGATCGTGAACCCCTCGTGATCGTAACCTCCGTCCAGATAGAGTGCGGAACACTTCAGGCTTGCTGATGACCACAGAAAGCCGCGGCCTCCAAAGTACTTAAACGCAACACATGGTCTGCTGCGCCCGAGTGAAGGTACCAAAGGTGCCCCCATTCGATACGTACCATGTTGGTACCTCGACACAGTGAGCCATTTGATGTGTAAAGAGCACCGATTGGGTGGCCGTGCCGGGTATTGGTGCCCCGTGCCCAACGAGAATGATGTACACGCCACTCCCTCCCAATTTCCCACTGGGCCTGCAGGCCACAAGTGAGGGACAGCCCACAAGTCTGTCAGATACATGCGGAGCATTCCCCTGGCTTCGCCTTCTCACACCCAAATGGCCGCTGACTGAGCGCCGCGAGAAGAACGAACAGCCCATGTGACCGGCCTCACTCTGTCCGGTACTTTGGAAACTCCTGTGATCAAGCTGCAAGGATCCACATACGCGCGTGTACACGGGTGTGCGCTTGGCGGCCCCATTCCGATGCAGGTACCGCAGTCAACGTCGTGTGAAAGGTCGCACTGCTGCCGCTTTTGCGTACATGGGGGCAGGGGGGCCGTCACCGGTTACTAAATGAAGTGCGAGGGACAGTGGCCGAGAGCTATAAGTACCTGTCGCGCGGGCAGCCCGAGCAGGAACTGCAGAGCTAAGTCCCGGCAGGCGGAGGAGACCCGGGGGGCGTGGCGGAACTTGAGCTAGCGGCCATGGATCGCCTGTCGACTGCGCTGGTGGCCTGCGTGGTCCTGGCGAGCGTGGTGTGTCTCGACGGCGCACGCATTGCCTCCCCAGGTGCGAGAAGGGCTCGTTTGCAGAGTCTGTGCTGAAGCGCTTGTGGCGTGATATTGCATGCAGATGCGCATGCCTGCGCTCGGGCATTTGTGTGTGTCACACACTGTGTGGCTCGCATTTGCTGAGCCTTCGAAAGCCAGAGGCGGATGGGGATGGTTTGCGCACGCGCTGCTAATTTTGCGCACCGCAGTGGCTGCGTTCGCGCAAGTGCGGCATAAAGCTCCGCCGACGGCAGGATTGGGAGGCCAGGAAATTGCATGCCGCATCTGCACTCGCTGCGACGCCGCCGCGCAGGCCTGGACCGCAGCGATCGGTGGTCTGCCGTGCTGCGGTCCACTGCGGTTCATGCAGGACTGGGGCCTGAACCAATGTCGCCGCAGCTTAGCAATGGGTGCGTTGCATCCACGGCCGCAGCGACTGATGCGATTGCAGCGCGGCAATCGCCGCTATCGGGGGCAAAGTTTCCGGGGCTGGCAGCGCTCCAGGTTCCAGCGATGCTCGCGTGTGTTGAGAATGTAATAACCGCATGTGACCTTTGCCGCGTGTGTCTTGCAACCTCCGAATTGTTGGCTGAAGTGGCAGTCGCGGGGGGTGATCTGACTCCAGCAACGTCGTTCCAAATGCGCTCTAGCACGCGTGCCGCGAGGCCCCCTCGACGTTAGAATGCCGCTCATGCGTGGGCCGACGGTGGCGCAGACAACGGCAAAACTCACAGGCTTCGCAGCGCTCGCGGCAATACAGTAGGTACAATAGAGTCAAGCGGCGTCCGTTTCGTTGTGCCGCGCTTCCTTTTCATCCACCACGCACCTCTCGAAGCTTGGGGCATACGTTTGCAGGCCTGTCGTCATTGCCGTATTCCGACGTGCGGCCCGAGGGTTGGAGGGCGGTGGGCACGTCGCGCCCTGTCTGGCGGTGGCAATGCGTTTCCAAACGCGCTCGTGAGCGTGCGCGCAGCGAGGTGCCGGTGTCGCTCGAGTGCTGTTGGAATCGCTCGCGCCGTCCACGTTGGCACTGCGTTCCCAGCGGCCCCTCGCGTGTGGCAGTTTGGCCGCTTTCTTGTACTACCCCTGGCGTTTGTTAGCCCTCAGTGGTGAACATCGGGCGTCAGTTCGTCGTCGTTCTGTCCATCGCGTGTGTGCTCGGGACCCGATTGCAGCAGTATGCGTGCATATGTGATGTGTCGATGGCTTCCATTCACAGGTATCGGCATGTTGCATATATGCATATATATGTTCGTCAGACATTTGTGTTTTTCGCCGCGCCATGCGGATGCCCATCCGGACCAAGGAATGCGCCACGCATCAGCGACAAGGCAGACTTCGGAAACGCGCCATGTACAAAATGAGTGCCGCTTTGGTGACCAGGGAGAACAGAACACCGGGCAAGTGTGCGGCTCCAAATATCAAAATTGGAAAAATGCAAATCAGCAGCGCAACAAGCAGTTGATGCAGTTGCGCTGGGTGGGTGCGCAGCTCATCCCAGCACATCAGCATGGCAGGGCAGTTGCTTGAGAAAGCAGAAGTTTTGACGATAGGCGCCTTTGGCAGGTCTGGGACTCAACGCATTAGCTAAGGCCACTGATGGAGAGGTGTCGACGGAAGTGCCAGAGACAGGTGGCCGTGGGCTGCTTTGGGGCCGCCCAATGGACGATGACGACGGCGACGACGATCACGACGACGATCACGACGACGACCACGACGACGACCGTGACGATGATGACTACTACCGCCCTCGCCCTAGGCCCCGGCCAAGGCCGTGCAGCCCGAAGACGAAGAGGAGGGTCTCCGTGAATCCGAAGCCCAAGAGGCCTTACACGTGTCGCATCTGCAGGTACTTCGGAAAGTGAAGCTGGTTGGGGTACGAGGTCACGGGTCGCCGAAATCTGCGTTGAAGGCAATGGAGGGGAGTTTTCGCTAGAGACGATGCGCCAGCAGGACGGCTTGGGAGGCGCGCGAGCCATACCTCGCGTGTGTGGATTGCTTTTTGCAATCGGAGGGGTAGGGGGCGAAAACGGGGGCGAGCTTGAAACACAGCGCCAATGGGGTTAATGAAAGTGTGCACCACGTGGTGCGGAACAGGTGCCAACGTTCGTGTAGGCCGCTTGTCGCTATCTCCCGGCCATTTCTGAAGGTGGCAGGCATGGCTGCCGGCTTTGATTATGTGAGTTTTTCAATAGAAAAAGGGCAGGGAACATTCGCCGGGGCTCTGGTGCATGTGTGTACTGTGTGCGCTGGCGCAGTGCCGACCGTACATGCTACAATACCAAAGGCTGAGGGGAACTGTTGACTGGTTTCTAGAGAGGGAAATAACATTATATTACAACCGATGAACAACTGAAGAAGGGGTACGAGGAAGTCAATGCGCGTGGGCGAAGAGCGTGATGAGCTTTGGCTGACAAGTATTCATTGGACGCTCTCGTTTATCAACTAATTATCAATGGAGAACTGCGTCCAGTTGGTAATATGCCATGTAACTTCATTTTGGGGGTCAGTCTTGCGATGAAGTCGCTGGCACAATCAATTGACGACTAGTGACGATCGAGGTCAGATTTATCGCTTTGATGAAGATTTGTGCTCGATCGCTATGGCAATCATTATGTATTGTAGAGAATTGAGAGTTCACGATGAAATGTGCAGATCCGTGTCTCGTGGCAAAACTCGAGTTCATCATTTCAGCTGAAATGCAGCGAGCGCAGTGTGCACGTCATCGACTCCAACCCAGTCTGTCAGATTGGTACCATGGTGGTCAACAATGATATGGTTACTGTCGCCCCAGATGCGCGATCTTGCGAGTTGCTCATTCGAGCATCTCAGGGCGCTCAAGATCCTAAAGAAAAATAGGTTCGATGGAGCAGAAATCCCAGCGCCTTTCGCCATGCGTTGGTTGGCTCGATGCCGTGGAACCCTTTCCGGTGTTCCTATTCGTTCCCTCAACCATGGGTGAGCAGATTTTCCATTTCTTTTGGTGTGCCCGGGGCCACCCAAGAGTAACGACAATAAATTGGCGCACAATCGTGGTGAGGATAAAAGTGTTATCTGGCCAGCAAGTGCTGTGTTGATAGTGCTGTTTTAGCATGACGGAATCCTCTCCCTCTCAGCACGCCCACTCGCCAGCTGCATATCAAACGTGCTCAACGATGCTCCAATTCACAATGCACATAACCGCCTCGTTCAATTCAATTTCCCCTTGTGAGAAGTACTTGCCTTGACGATAGATTCGCGACACAACCAAAGTACTAAATCCTCAGTACTTTAAGCTTGACGCAATCCTCAAGCCAAATTCACTCTCCAAGGCGTAGGCGGGGGGATGCAAGCAGGGTACGATAGTTGGCGGTCTTGGGTTCCCTTCCAAGTAGAGAGGCGTCACGTCTCACGATAAAAGCCTGCCAAGCAGCCTTGCTCGTTGCGTTTGTGGCACCATTTTTACTTTTACATTTTATGCGCAAGGACGCGCAAACACAAATCCCATATTATTACGCCATATTGTGCATTTTCGCGGCGCGTCGACACACCCAGCTTACACTATCAGAAAACGCCGTGTTGCGACGCTAACTGCGATGCCAATTTGGCCCAAAGTGGCGCCATCATAGTGATTGCGATGGCAAAAAAACGGATGTGATGGCGTCAATTGGTTTCAAATGGCATCGCAGTTGGCATCGCGAAAACGTCGATTTCTGATGGTGTTACATTGTGAAGTTGTAAACAATGATCAGTTTGCCGCCCCCTCAAGGACCGGCAACACAGCACCCACCCCGCGATCTGCCATGGCAACGACGTCGCGGAAAAAACGGTCGCCCTCTACCCGCTCCAGCGCATCTTGTGGCCTCTCCGGAGTGGATCCTCGGACTCCCTGACTCTTCTTGTGCTATGTACAATACTGCGCTTGTACTATGTAGAATACTGTGTACTATGTACGCAGAGACCACGTGCACTCAATTTTACGCGCTTTCACGGGAAAAAACAAAAAGGAAACTTCTTTTACGCGTAAACACGTGTAAGCACGCTGTATATGCGCCTTAGGAAAGACACTATGTCGAAATTGTTACGTCAATTTAACGCTAGTGGGGTGGGAGCTGTGTCCAGACCTGTGACGCTAAGAGATCATTTAGTTGCAATAAAATCGACATAAACTTGAAAGATACCCAAAAAGCTGCTGAAAAGTGGTAGCAAACATATGGCTTGCCTCAAAACTTCCCTTTGGCTTTCTACCTTCGCAAAAGACCCCATAATATCTCGATTGGCGGCCTTCAGAACCGCCCCCATCATTTCCTATTGCATTTCGCATCTCAGTTTTCAGCTCATTAAGATTTCTGCAGTTTTGGCTGTTTTTCTTCTTCAAAAGGTAACAAATTGGCACCACACCATTGTGTATTGATGCTGAGTCATCCTGGCTTCGATGTATGGATTGGCGCTGAGAAAAGGGGGCGGGGGCCTGAGCTTAACGTCAAATCGATGAAGAGCGTAACAAAATAGACATAGGGTCTTCGCCTAGTGACCAAGCCTGATTCCAACGTCACCCATTATACATAAACGTTGGTTCCCGCGTGAGGGAAGCTTTAGTTTCTGATCAGAAACGCGCGCCAGAAAATTCTTGGCGAGAGCTCATGTCCCGAAGGAACTGAAATGCAGCCTGTAGGCCAATTGGCACAGGGAAGTACTCAGGATGCAGAAAACAGATCTGGCGGTCGACTTTATCCAGAATGCCTAGCGCATCCAAGCGAAGCTCACCCACATCCCTTGCAACAAACTCTTGCCAAACGTGAATCGCATTTCTGAACACCAATGCTTGTTCATGTTCGTCTCAATGTTAGGGCGTAACACAACAACAACAGCAGAGCCAAAATTGCAAGCTATCAACAAACAAGCTAGCAGCAAGCCTTTCAGCATATTACGATATGAGCAATCGGGTTCGCAAAGGAAAGCCAGTTATGAAACAATCCAAAACCCATCATCGCTAACATGAAAAACACAGACACACCGATCGGGATGATGCCTTAGGCCATAAATCAGTCAACAAACGCAATATCACAGCAAAGGACGCCACCAAATTGGTGGGATTGCAGAAGGCAATCTGGAAGCCAGAAAGTTGTATGACAATGGGATGGATATGACAATGACTGTAATTGCGGCCATCTAGTTGCCTGCAAAACAACGCGCCAACACTTCCATTGTCTCCGCACTGAACATCAGTCATGCGATAAATATCAAGGTGAATCTCTCCAAAGGTTGTGTCATCGTTTTCCCGCTCGCTTTTCTTGCTGCGCTGCTGTGCCAATTTTCCACGTCACATTTGGCAACGCAAATAATTTTTTTGGATCCATAGAAGTTTCTCAGGCCAAATTATGTGGCTCCTACACCTCTCCAACACCATTAGCACACTCCCGCCGACATCACGTCAAATCGACAAGAACTTGTCGAGGAAAAAACAAAATTTTCCAAGGGAGATGAGGAGTGTTTCGTCTTGCAACAGTGCTCCTGCGACTGTGCTTACATCCGCTTTTTGGCGAGAGTGGGCATGAAATAGAATACGGTGTAACACATGAAAATCGAAGTCATTGGTCCAGACCGTAGATCGGGCACCGCGCCTGTGGAACTCGCGAATATGCCCCTGGTTCGCTGCACATTCGTCCATGCGACAAATGATGTCCCGCTGCACTACTTAGCCTCATGCGCCATTTGCAACCACCCCCGCGCTGCTCTGGTCCCCCCCGGCGCCTCCCAGCATGGCGCTGGTGGACAACGGAGTGCCTGCCCGCGGCTGGATTGCAGGGCGTATGGGCATTAAGGCGCGCAGTGTAGGCGCCCCGTGGACGCCATGTTTGCGTCGCAGACCGCAATTCGAGGGTCGCGCCCGCTGGAGCCTCGCGAAGGTCTGGGCCCATCCCCAGGCGGAGACGCGAAAGCCATTCGCTCTTGCGGGGACACGTCTGTGGGACCAGGTGGGTCGGCGCTGCAGTTCCCGGATAGGGGACGTGGGCGTCGTTGTTCTTGTTGCTCGTCAAGGAGCATGGAGGGTGCACAGCAGGCCATGATGGCTACCACTAATGATGCTTCAATGTGTCCATGGCCCGGAGTTTCGGCCTCGAATGGGGCCGGCGTTGCCCACCTAGAAACCGAGCCACAGACCGACGACGGCTGGAACGGTTCTTCGATCAATTCAGTCGCATATGCGCCGTTTCCTGGCAAAACTTGCATCTCTAAAGGCCCACAAAGTGCGATGCCAAAGGCGGCTCAATGTGACCGCCGCACACCGCCCGCGGGTCTGTTTTGCTTATGCCTGGGAGTACGGGGAGACTTGCGTTCCGTTCGAGGAGGTGCCGAGTTGTTGCGATCCGTGGATTTCATGTCGATCAGGCCCTGTTGATGAAGGAATCTGCTTTTGGGCTGTGCGGCAGGCATACAACAACTTCTGCAGCGAGTTTAACAGAACCCAACCAGCCAGGCCCCTGAATGTAGGGAAGTGTTGTCCTGGATTTCTTCTAATCTCAAGCCAACGAAAGGGTGCCCTACTCCAAAATCTGTGTTTCCTTGGTGTGCCACGCAAATGACCCTGGGCCACATTGAAGTTCCAGTCACATATTATGGCCATTCCAGTCACATATTATCCCCCCGTTTCGCTGCTGTCCGTGGACCTGTTATAGTACAGGAAAGTGGTGCCAGATGTTCTGAAATGCTGCTGTGTACTTGCGTTTTAATGCCAGGTGTCAAGTTTGTGCCAAGTTGGTGTGACATGTGATGCAATGGACTAGGCAATAATTACTGTGTTTTCCTTGGGATTTGCAACTCCCCCTAATGTGAGTGTTGGGCGCCTTAGAGGCGCATGCAATTTTTCTAGACTCCCACAATTTGCGCAGCGACAGTTACCGGGTGCCCCACAGCTCGGTTGGCACCTCATCAGCAATGCAATGCATCGTCTAACCCTTGTGTGTTTATTGTGTTGTGATGCAATATTTTGGAAGAGAAAATGCACATTTGCGGCACCAGAACACCGCACCTTGCCTTTCAATGGGAAATCATCGTGTTGATTGCAGGACGGGTTCTCTCATGCATCGATGGATGCAAAATTGTATCAAGCAATTGTGTGGTAGTGGTTAAATCAATACACTAACTGCAGGACTCATGCCACACAATCTGTAGATTCATGGATGGGGCTCAAAGGGTGACACCCTCTGCTGTGCTGCTGCTGCATCTGAAGTAGATCCCGGAGAGAGGGCTGGGTCCCCATTGGAAGCCCTGAAGTTTCCATTTTACATCATGCTGTGGTGCGTGTGGTGCACATCATGCCATTAGGTATGTTGTGTGAGAATGGCAGTGAAAACGATGGGTTGCTTCAGCCTTCTACTTTGCGTTGCCCGTTATATATTTGAACATCGAAGAAAATGAAACGTATAGAGGAGACACATGCTGCTCTTCCTGTGCATTTAGATGGAACACTGGCACAAGATGGCCATTGGCACAGTGACTGGAGGTGGCAGTCTTTTGCTTTTCACTTGGATTGCCCTCATGGTTAAAGCTCCGTGAGCACATCACTCCAATCGGGTTGCAAATGGATGCTATGTGTCACACGCTTCTTTTGGTGGCCATCTTGTGTGTTTTCCTGGTGTACTGCAGACCGCCCATGTGCATTTGAGGCATATTCATAACCGACTCTATGCATCTGCAGGTACGGTTTCAACATCATATTCAACATCGTGAACAAACAGACTCTGAATGCTTTCCCTTGCCCATGGTTTATTTCGTCCCTGCAGCTTGGTGAGTATTCATGTTCCAGCACACACCCTGTGCTGACTGACCCCGAGCAAATGTGCTAGTTGCAGATTTCATCCAACATGTGTCAATCAATTTGTTTGCACCAGCTCTGAAGCAAAACATTGCTGTTGACAATTGTTGAGGGCAAGGTCTGTGCTGACTAGCTCACCCAACTGTGCTGAATAGATTACTCATGAGTACGAGCACCATGTGCAAGTGGCAGAAGTCAGCACAGGTGCTGTCTGCCATTTGTTTGCACTAGCCATGAAGCAAAGTGCAGTGATCACTGTTGTTTCTGAACTGATGACCACAGCAATGGTCCAATTGATTCAGTACTGACCAGTCAGTTACCTGGGCCAATGCTGTTGCTTGCTGCAGAATGGGAGATGAATCCTGAACAGTGGAGTGCGCATTATCTCTGTCCATATTACATTGTCTGCCATACTGTTTTGGAGCCCTGCACCAGCCACCTCTCATCCTGCTGATAGAAGCTTCTATGTTTGGAATAAAGTACTCCTGCCTCAGTACAAACAAACCTGCAATGTAGCCTCCTAAGTGTGTGTGGAATGGCCATTTGGTGGTTGCAAGTACAGTTTCTGGCAAGAGTACTGCTGCTGTCCATCTGCATCTGTGTGTGTTCATCCAGTACTCACACATGGTTTGCTTGCTCGTCAGCTGCAAGTAGCCTTTTCATGTGCTGTCTTTGGATATCTGGAATTCAGAAGAAGCCACAAGTTTCGGTCGCCCTCTTCAAGGCGCTCCTGCCAGTCGCGTTGTTCCACACCATTGGTCATGTATCGGCATGTGTGAGTTTCAGCAAGATGGCTGTGAGCTTCGCACACATTGTGAAGTCTGCCGAGCCCATCTTCTCTGTCGCCCTTTCTGGGCCTTTGCTTGGGGAGGTTTACCCCTTCTACATCTGGCTGTCATTGGTACCTATCGCCTTTGGCTGCTCCCTGGCAGCCATGAAAGAGATCAGCTTCTCTTGGCTGGGTTTCAACAATGCCATGGTGTCCAATCTCGGAATGGTTCTGCGCGGAATCTACTCTAAAAAGACGCTGGTAGATTTCAAGGTGAGTTGTTGCTGGGGAACCCAGGAGGCAGCACTACCGCTTGTGCTCCAGGTCTAAGTTGTCATAATGTTGCAAAGAAGTGGCTACCCAAGTTGTGTGTTGTGCACTCACTTGCCAGTTTTCTTACAACAGCATTGCCGACCCTAAACCTGACATTGTTGCCCATGTCTGTGAATGCAAGGTGCTGGGCTTCGCAGTGTTGTTGCAGCATGGCTGGAAGGGTTTCTATTGAATTTGCGATGTACATGCTGACATAATGCTAAGTCGATGTTCAAAAGGTTAAGTGCTTTTCTGTGAGTGCATTTTTCTGGCTTGCCTGGGCAGAGCATCGATGGGATCAACCTCTTTGGGTTGATATCAGTTGTATCACTGCTGTATTGCCTACCAGCTGCTGCATTGGTCGAAGGTGCGCAGTGGTCATCGGCATGGAACACTGTGACCAGCAACATGGGCCCCTCACAGTTGTACCTGCTGCTTGGGACCAGTGGTCTGTTCTACCATCTCTACAATCAGGCAAGTATTGGCCAAGAGATCTTGGCAGGGAGTGTCATTTGAGGATTGCGGATGCAGCAGATGGGAACGCGCAAGAGTTACTGAACGTGGTGTCAAGCGTTGCCATTCGCCACTAATTGAGATGTTGCATTGTGTTGTCATCGCAAAAGCATGCGGAGTGGTTATGTGTCCATGCACACCCCCTTTGCAGTATATTTTGAGACACTGCTCCTTGGCAAAGCACAATGTTGCTTGAAGACAGGAACGTTGTCAGCAAGTGCGGAAGCGTTTGGTCACAATTAGAGACTGTATAATTGCAGAGTGAAACTCTTAAGTCTTGAATGGTGGACAGTGGTCAACTTCGTTGCCAACAATCCACTCTACGGAAATATCACATATCGTCTGAACATACCAGGCCTTAAACAATGATGTGGTAGAAGGAATCTCTGTATGAAACCAGTGACAGTGAGTTTGGAATCCGAATTTTCGTCGCCACTCTGGAAGGTTGCTGATGAGGACATCAACAACACAACTTTGGGAGCCATTTTTGACCAACTGTTCAGACTAAGAACCCAAGGCTGCGATGTGAGCAACGTCCTACCTCACTGCTGTGTCACAGCATGGGCACAAAAGCATCACATTGTTGTTCAAGACTGTTGTCAGGAGGGCTGCATAGATCGCGCACGATGGTGTTCAAACTGCAATGTCTGACATCACAAGTAAATCTCAAGCATAATGGTGTGCTTGCATACCCACTGAAACAGAATGGATGACCATGATCTGCGGGAACACGCCTGGCAGCCGCTTTGCACTGAGCACCGCACGGCAATCCAGCTGCTCTGAATTGCATATTTGCTGAGCCAGGCTTGCGTTCACATGTTCAGGCCTCTTATATGGTGCTTGGCCTGGGCATCACCCCTGTTACCTTCAGTGTGGGGAACGCAATGAAGCGGGTGGCGGTGGTCGTCTCCAGCGTGCTGTTCTTCAGGAATCCTGTGAGCTTGTTCAACTGGATTGGCTCATCTGTGGCGATTCTGGGCACGTACCTATACTCAATTGCCAAGGGCAAAGCCGCCGCTGACGGAAAGCGGGCTGCTGCTGCTGGCACATCACAATGATGGGTTCTTGGGTGGAAAATTTTATGGAATTGCTAGCCAGGTGATGCCAGCCGGAGCGATGAGGCGGGCGGGTCCTCAATTGGTTGGTATCCGGTTGTTGGGGAAACAATTGGGACATCGCTGATGATACCTGACGTGGCCTTTGTGACGCAAGGGCACAATTTTTAGACCGGAGAGCCAAACACAATCATGGTCGATTGCCGCAAGGCGAACCCGAACTCTGCCGCACCATCTGGCTCCTTGCTGCTGGACCTGCGTCGGGCAGAGCCAGTAGAGTGCCGCGAGTTCTTTATTGTGTTGTGGGCTTGGAAGGTGAAGAACAGGAGCAACATTACACGGACAACGGTGCACTTTTTGCACCTACTGCAGGCCCTTTCGGAGTGTAGGCGATGTGACGGGCTGTCTCAAAAGCGGCGCCTGACGTTGGCCACCAATGCAAGGGCGGTGACTTCCCACACGTTCATACATGGAGCAATGCGGGCTTCCGTCTTTGTTGCGCTTGTTGTGTCTGTGACCACACCAGATCTGGAACTTTGTTTTGTCTATATAGCACACAGTGGGAACGCCGGCTACCCAAGGAGCGGCCACCTCAAATTATTTATAAATGACATGTAATACCGTGTGAGCCAGCGAAAGATGGAAAACACATTCAAGGTCCGCGTGCTGAGCTGCAGGAACAACAGATGGCTGAGTCATCGGCTCTCGAGCTGATGGACCGCGCGATTAGTCCATCCACATTCTGAGACAAAACGTTGACATTTGCAAATTGCAGAACGCTCGCTTTGCAGCAAGTAAGAAACATTTCGGTATTTCTGAGCGGCAAGTCCATGTGGCAGTTGGCGTTGCTAAGTAGTTGTTCCGTCTGTGTGCAAGCCCCTGACATGGATGACCCAACAATGCATTTTGATGTGCGTCCCCATCGGATCCTTGCTGTATGGCTGAAATGCATGAAGCACTGTGGTTGATTGATTGCCTGCCAGGGACAGGGCTTGTTCCTTGGCAGATGCGCTGGCCCTGTAGTGCCAATTTCTCCACTGCCCTTGCACAGCTGAAGGGTCCAAGGGTGCAACATGCGTTCACTCTGTATCTGTTGTCGATCAACTCACATTTCGGTCTGGCAACAAACATCTGGTCCTGGTAATTGTCCAATGTGTCCACACCCTCACGGCGACCAGCGCTTCTACCGGAAACGCTGGAAGTGTTATGCTGAGTTGTGGTGTAGCGCGCGCAGCTTCTGGCACCGCCATGATTGGAACAACCCGATCCTGAGGATTCTCAGGAACGAACTGAGTTCCAGTTCGAACTGGAACTTCACCTTCGCTGCCAGCTGCATTGCGTCTCTGACTGGCGCAGCTTCTCGGCGCCACACTGTTCCCAAACTGAATGAGTACTGAGATAAGCCAACATGGGCGCGTTCTGGTTCTGCCATATGGCAGGCGTCGCCTGACAACCCCTCGGTGTAAAACATAGCACCTGCTCTGCACGATTGAGCGTTGAAAGCTTTTCCTTGTGAGGCAGACGGCACCCTGGTGACATGCCCAGCAACGGCATGCTTCAGACAAAGCGTCCGGGACGACTTTGAAAGATCAACCTGAATCGGGACAAACGTCAACAAGGCTGGCGAGGCTGGCAACGTCAGGAAAACTTCCGCGGCCACTGCAGCGGGCGTACAGTCCGCATGAGCTAAGAACAGGGGGCTGAGCTGCTGCTGTCATGGAGAGCCTTTGAATGCCAAACATGTACAGAACATGAGCGAACAAATATTTCCTAACCATGTGGCGGTGGGTGCACGATGCTTGCCAAGACGCGTTCGTCTTGTCGCCACCTCATTCAGCATCGAAGAGGGACCAGTAGGTGCAAAATCAACTTTGCACAATCAACGACTCAAATGTACATCGACGCCCTTGTGCGGCAAAACTTCTTGACCACGGGAAGGATGTCTGTCCCTACTCCCAGTCCTCCACGAGGTTCACAGGGTCGTCCTCCTCACCCTGCGGAGCTTCTGGGGGCCTCCCTCGCGTCACCCCCTCACTGTAGTCTTCCCACACCTGAATATCCTCCCGCCAGCCTGACTCGGTGCCTTCGGGGCCCAATCCAAAGGGCGGGCCAGCTGGGGCCCTGTCTCGCGAGTAGGCGGCCCCTTGGTACCGTTCAGATTCCTCTGAACCGCCCCACAGACCGAAGGGCGTTTCGCTTGACTGTGGCAGCCCAAAGTCTTGCTGGTACCAGGGCTCTTCGGCCTCCTTGCCATCGGGGCCCGACTGAGACGCTGATGGCCTGCTGGGCTCGCCCTATCGAGGAAGACGGGCACTTGGAACTTCAACCAAAATTGAGGCGCTGTTCGTGTCGCCCCACAGTGTCCATTCCTTACAATGTGTGTCAATTGTGGCGAGATTAGGGAAGAAGCTATGTCGATTTAGTTACGCTTAGCGTCAATTTGACGTTAAGCTCAGACCCCCACCCCACCCCACCCCACCCCACCTCCCTTAGCGCCTACGTTTTCTCTACCGTCGAACCAGGATGACTCAGCATCATTACGTAATGGTGTGGTGCCAATTTATTATGTTTTGAAGAAAGAACAACAGCCAAAACTGCAGCAATTCTGGTGGGCTGAAAACTGAGATGCAAAATGCCATAGGAGACGATGGGGGGCAGTTTTGAACGCCCGCCAATCGAGATTTTATGGGGCCTTTTGTGAAGGCTGCACGTCAAAGAGAAGTCTTGAGACAGGTCATACGTTTATTGCCACTTTTCAGCTGCTGTTGGGTATCTTCAAACTTATGTCGATTGTGCTGCAATTACATAATCTCTTAGCGTCACAGGTCTGCAACCCCCCGGTCCCTCCCCCGCCCCCCCTTTCTTAGCGTCAAATTGACGCTAAGCGTAACAATTTCGACATAGTGTCTTCCCTTACTTGGGTCCACGAACGGCAACTCAATCAGCAGGGAGTCACACCAAAAATTGCTTTTTCTAAACAGAGGAAAAATGTCAATGCACCCAACCCACCCAACCCACCTAACCCACCCAACCCATCCAACCCACCACCGCCACCATTACCCCATGAGCACTAGTTGTGAACAGAGAATTTCGAACATACTGCGACAACATGATGCAGAAGCATCCGAGGAAGACGGGGATAGCATGTGACGGGGAAAGCAGAGGAAATTTCCAATCAGGCATAAAACTGCTGTCCAGAGGAGGAAGGCCAACACGGGCGACAATGTCTGGAACACAGGGAGAGTGTGCCTGATATGTCAGTGAATATCGTCAGGGGGTTTAGGGGTGGGGTGGGGTTGGGGCGATATCACTCCGTGTTATGCCAGAAGTCGAAGGTAAAAATATCAAAATACAACAACACATTCACCAAACGGAGGACAATCCTGGGTCAGCCAGAAAGGCTTTGGGATTTGGAGTCCGAAGGTGCTTGAAGTCCTGGTCCTTCTGTTGTGACTACTCTGCCGCTCGAGTGAATGGGGACCAAATGGCACCGCTGGATTGCGGACTAAGTCGACTCCGCCCTCTGGCCTAAGCCTCTTTACCGCGAGGACCAATATTTACCTCCCACAAGTGTAAACTAAATCTGCCCTCGATTCAGAATAGGTCTAACTTCTGCGCTCATGAATGAGTGCTCTTGGACGAGCACTTTAGAAGATATTGTTCTGGTCGTCACCATGGAATGCAGCAGAGGCAGCAGTTTCGTTCTTTTTGACGAAAGAAGTCAAGGACTGGTAAAAATTCATTCCATGTCTGTCATTGAGAACAATGCGCATATTATCTTCGTTTCGAATTGCTGGCCTCCACCAAATTTACTATCAATGCCACCACCGTCCAAGTTCTCACCTTCATCTGAATCTGCTCTCGAAGATTTAGAGCCTCAAGTGCAAATGAGATCGCCACTGTACATGTCATGAGCTGCCCACAGCCACAAAAACAGAATTACCAAGAAAGCTCCAGTGACAGACAGCCATGAGTCAACAAATGAGGAAGCAAATTCACTCACCACAGCATGGGAATGCCCCGCAATCTTCAGACTGCCAATAGGCACTTGCGCAACACAGTGTTTGGTTGTGATAAGAGCAGGGGGTCTTGCACCGCCAAAGTACAAACGGCATTGCTTACACTAAATAGAACATGGCAAATCAACACCCTTGCATCTGTTTGGTGATGCTAGGGTATGGCTACAGAGGGAGGCACAGTTTTTGGATCGCTTGCTAAACAATTGCTGCACCAAGGACAAGCTTCCGATGCCACAGACTGTCACCATGCCCACAATCTTGGGAATACCCTAAACACACACCTGGCACAGTAGTAACAAGGGGTCTAAACGCCACCCCTGAAAAACCAAGGTACCTCCTGTCACTGTTATCAGGGAGGATACAATCACATCGCTGTCCCGCGACAATGCCGGCTTGGATTTTCGAATCTGCAAAACAGCCATGGTAAAACATGTTGAGCAGTTGACAACCGCTGTGCATGTTGTTAACTGGTGAAGTCCCAGGGTCGCAATGCGATTCAAGTCTGTGTTTAGCTTATGCAGCATGCACACCATTCATGCCACACAGAATAAGCCGATTCAATGGTACTCAACAAAGCCCACAGGTGAGAGGGCCTCGTCTAACAAGGGGCTGCGCAATGTCATTATAAGCCAGAGCTCTCCCTCTGCATGGATCAGCACTCTTTGTGGCCAGCAACACAGTGCTTCAGCATTTCAGAGAATAGCAGAATTGACCAATTGCTTTACTAAATTCACTCCCCGTTCACACTATTGGTCCAAGATGAGCACATAGAAAGCCCTACCCAAGGAGGCCCCGTCCAAAATGAATCTAAGGTCCTGGTGTGCAATATACCCTTGCTGTGGGTCCTAGAAACACAGAATAAATTGCCCCACACCAGTGTATCCACAGGGAAATGCTACAGCAGTGAACAGGTGGGGCCTGGTAGCTGAACTCTCTCTGTACAGACTGCAATGTGAGGCAAGGGCAGCACTGTACTTTTGCACAGAAAAGGTGTGTCCATGAAAGGTCAAGCGAGTTCAAAGGGTCATCCATGTTGTGCGGAAGGAGAACATTGCAATACCAAACTCCACTGCACAGCCTCGTCAGGGAATGGATCTCCCTTGCCCGCTAAAGGCGAGTGTGCTGCAGACAGGAACGCCAACTCCTAGCAAGGGGCCCGCCTCCATTCGAGGCACACGCATGGAAATGGGGCGGAGGGAAACTTGCCAAATAACACTGAGTTTGGCCACAGCAAAACAGAGGCCAGCCGCACCACACAGTTGAACGCATCCAAAGAAACGCTGGGGCGTCAGCCAGCTTACGCTGAAGAGCAACACCCCGGCCCCTATCAGGCCAAGACCCAGCACCAGGGATGGGCTCGCCAGCTCCACATTGACCATCGCGAAGCACTGCATCGACCGGCCGGGCCCACGCAGCGCGCTCTCGCACCAGCGCCTGCGCAGAGGCCTCAGCGGCCGTCGAAGGCCGCCCCCGAGCGCCCAGGCGGAGGAAATCCTGGCCATGCCCTGCACGCGAAAATCGGACGATGCGATCAAATTCGCACGGTGTTGGCGCCCCGAACTGCGCTGGGGCAGGGTTCGGGGAGGACCCGAACGGCCTGCGCGACCGCAAGACGGTGCGGAGTCGGAATGGGCACTGAACACGCGTCAGTGCAGGAGTTGACCGCAGGGGTTTTCGGGGCCGTCCGCTGAACGCAGCGCCCCCGCCTGTGAAACAAACGGCACGCCTCACGTCTCTGGTGCAGTCCCTTGAGCAAACGGGCAGCACCTCGGCTTTCCACACGGCATCTGTTCCAGCAAGGCGGCCAGCGCAGCTTTGCCTGCCGACAAAGCGTTTGGCTAGGGGCGCAAACGTGGGGGGCCAAGCGCTGGTGGCCGCTCCAACCACGGCGTCCGCCACGCTCTCACCGGCGGCCGCCGCCCCCAGACCTCCAGCCGCATCCTGGCCGCGCAACAGCCTCCGCCGCCGCGAAGCGCACCGCCGAACGGCTGCCCGGTCGACCGGAGCCGAGCCCGGGGGAAGTTCGTGGGCCTGCGGTCCCAAAGGGGACGGTTCGTCATTAGTGCCGTCCCACGACTTGTTAGTGCAGGCCCGCGACTTGTTAGTGCAGTCCCACGACTTGTGAGTGCAGTCCCACAACCTGTGAGTGCAGCCCCACAACTTGTGTGTTGAGTCCCAGGATTTGCGGAGTAGCCAAGCGGGTTGGGTGTGCTGCGATGGGGCCGCCAGACGGCGTCGGGGTTCAGGGAGCTGCGACCTCGGAGCGGCTCCTCGCAATATTCAGGTGCAACCTGCGTGGCCGCGGCGCCACGGCCTGGCGTTCGGCGATGAGCGCGAGCGCATGTCAGCAAGTGGGGCATCGTTCTACTGCGAGTTGATGGGGCATGGGACGGCGCGATCGCTTTGTAGCGGCAAGGCGCGTTCGCTGCGTCTGGTATTTGGATCCTTTAATGGAAATGCACCCCAATTCGTCTCAAGTGTTGATTATTTTGGCGGGGCATGGCCATCTTTGGGCAGACAACAACTGTTTTGGGAGGGCGATTGGAACCTGGCAAGGCGCAGAACAAGATGTTCAGCTTCCATGGTTGAAATTTTTAATATCTTCATCTGCAAGCATTTTGGAAGGGAGTTGAATCGCCCTCGGTAGCTGTATTCAAACGCCGGGCTGTTGATAGAGTCCCATTGCCCCTGTTTATGTATTGGCTGGCAGGTTGTGCCAGAGCCAGTGTTTCACACAGGCACTCCTGCGAAGCAAGCCCAGCTGGGGTTAGGATGGTTGACTGTTTCAGGTCCTTCTTGCAGGCAACGTGTTTCTGGATTCCCTGGGCTTCGGTCACTGCGCATGCCAATGCAGTTGGCTACCAAAGAAAGTAAGGGAGCAGGGTAGCAGGGGCCAATGGGACGTTGGTGTGCATGTTCCACAAAAGGGAGCCAGGGACTCCTGGTTAGATTGCATTGACTTCTGATGACGTCGAGCTGGCTGTTGAAGCACCTGGTGTCGAAGTGTTGATTACATGATATCTGGGGACCTCAATTCCAGCTTTTCCACGACAGCACTATAGCAGGAGCCTGGTTGTCTCTGGAATACCTTAAGGACTGGAACAACAATGCTGGGGGCATACTGCGGACAGCCAATGCTCTGCCGCGGAACTCTCTGTTTGCAGACTGACCACAGAGCATGGAAAGTCCACGCACTTGCACCTTGCAGGCAACATAGGGCGCTTCCTGCTCTCTGTCAAAGACTGGTTTCGCCCTGGCGCATTCTGGGGTGCTGTTATAGATCTTCTTGCAGGCCAGCATATTCGCTGTTGCCAAAAACAGGACAAACATGAGTGCATGTTGCTTTCAACAGTGAGGCACAGCCCTGTGGCCACAATGGTGAACTGACCCCAGGGGCATTGGTACCTGTGCTGGCAGGCAAGAGAAGGAAGTGCACTTCTCTTGGCAGGAACATTGCCTTTGAGAGTGATTGGTGAGAGCACCATGTTTTCTTGGCATGCTGCTATGGTAGTACTGCTTCCCCACAGTTAATGCTTCCAAACTCTGGCATTGTTGGTTCTTGAATCGTTTGGAGGACAACCAGTTGCCAATGTAAGGTCGCTCCACGTTTATTTGCCGAGCGTGGATTCTGCCCCTTTTCAGAACAGGTGTATTCCACGCTCTTTGGGTGTGATAGCTTGAAATGAGGTCGCAGTGCAAGTGTGGCTGCTGTGAGTGCCAGCTCAGGGACTCTTGCAAACGAGCATGGTATTTGCAAGGGCTGCCATTGCCATATACCTAGCATTTTATACCAGCCTCGTGATGTTGTACTTTGATTGAAGTAGGTGTCAGTGCCACAGCACCTCCATGTCTCACCATTTCTGCAATGAATGGACATTACGCCACCCATGTGTTGCGCTCAAGACTGTTTGTATGTTTGTTTTGGACCCGGTGTGTACTGAAAACTGGGCTGAGCAAAATAAAAGGGCAATGGGGCGACATACCCAGCTTGATGTGTGGATGACAATGAGCTTTGCAAGCTAGCAAGGGCAGATATTGGGGAACAGTTTGTTGACCAGTCAACTGTCATGATGTGTGAGCTCGCACAGGGCTGAGGGGTATGCTGAGGGAACACACAACGAGCAGCGGCAAGGATAATTTTGCTCATCATACTTACTGTGCAGGCACACTGTGCTGCCCTGTGCAAAGCAGCAGCCCAGGGATTGTCACTTGCAAGCATGCTGTAGCTATCAAGTCATGTGGACATTCCATTGTGGTATCTCACATTCAATATTGCCCATCGGTGCTGAAAGGCAATTTCACCTGGCTGGCAAATTGTTTGACCTACATTCGAAGAATGACCATGACAAATGAAACCCTTGCATTTTTGCTCAATGAAGGACAGAAGAATGTTCAAGCAATGTTTTGGCCCTTTTCACTGGCCTTGCAGTTCTGGCAATCTGATTTCTGCAGCTTTTGGCGTCTGCAGGGTGCGATATGGGCGGGTGACAGTTCTTGACGCTGGCAGTCGTGCACAGCTGTGCTGTGGGGCAGTCTACCCTGACTGCGTGACAGATGCCCCACCGCTTGTGTTCGATGTGATCTTCCTTGGTAAATGCTTTGCTGCCACACTCACACACTACACATGCCTGTTTGCGATTGCATTGGAAGGCGCATCAACACAGAGTCACGACAATTTGCAGAAGGCCTTAACACACACTCCACAGATGTCATAAACATCAGCACCTGTCGTTCGTATGTTGCTGCTCATCTGCGGGAATGAAGATGGTGTGTACTTTGGAGAATAGGGCAGGCACCCCTTGCGTGCAAGCATGTAATGAATAGTGCAAGATATATTGGGAATGTTAGTTACAACAGGATGTCATGTTGTACAGGACATCGTGCATCCATGGGCTCAACTTGAAAGCGGACTGCTCAATGAATGTTGAACACAAATCAAAAGAACTTTGCTTGATCCAAAAACAATTGCCTGACAGCGTGTCTTGACACACAATGCCTTGTTGAGGCATGTGTCGCACTGAATTTGTTATCTTGTGTTGTGACTGATGGATAATGCTGACCATACAGATGATCGCTGGCTCTTCACCATGGACTTCGTGCCGCTCTTCGCTGGCCCTGAATATGAAGCGTCTTACATTGCACCTTTAAAAGACGTCCGGGCGCTGCATCAGCGAATCATGGTGCCCCTGCCAGACGCATTTTACAGTGGCAATCGATGGATATCAACAGGCCTCATGTTTGCATCTTCAAACATGTTCAGCAAGGTGGGCGGAGGCGGTCAATCAGTGAACCAAGATTGCATGACACACCAACGAGAAAACCTTCATGGCTGTTGGGACATTACACGTCATAACGCGGTGAAATTTGTGCGTAGTTAAATTCCACGATCTGTAGACACACGGTCACAGCCTCTCAACCAACCCCTCCGTTGAGAAACTTGGCCGTGAACACTTGCCATCCACACGGTGAAGAGATCATGTGCGTGTGGTACCATGAGCAAAGAACTATTGCATCTGGCACTTGTCACACTATCGATTGTTTGCAAAGATGCTGCCGCTAAGGGCTTTTGCCATTGTGTGTGCGTGACATTGGAGCAAATTTTCCGACCGCAATGCGCTCATGATTTGGCAATGAACACAGTCGCTCTGGTTTAAGATTATGGCGTGGCACAAATCCACATTCATTGTATGGATGGAGTTGAACGCTGCCCTTGCTATTGTTTGGCGGCATTGCCAATGGTGTCGACGACAGGCCTTCTTGACAATGGCAGCCACATTGAGGGCACTGTAGCCTCTCAGGTACGAAACACACAAGCGAAACCAAAAGGTGTTGGCCATCCTGATTTCTGTATGCCTAGCGCTCAACGGACGCTAAACTAAGAAGCCACCCTCCCAGCGTCCATTGAGCGTTGAGCGTGCAAATTCAAAACAGTTTATTCCCTTACAGAGTCAACATCTGCAGCAGATCTTGGCTTCATTTTGACAACGAAGTTGGCGGGGCATGGTGGCCGTGGCTATTGCGAAGGGCTCGGTGCTCGTGGCTCTCATTTGCAGGCCATCTGCTGACCCAACACATGTTGTGATAGGACGGCACACGGGCGTCCGATTTTGCAGAAGGCGTTGTGTCCAGCTTCTCTGACGGGCTCGAACAGTACGTCTGTGCAGTCAGCCGCGCTGCACAGGAGAAGGAGCGGTGGCGTCTGGACGAAGATGCTCTCGGGGCGCAGATGTCGCACATCGCGTGGCTGTGGAAGCACACACACCCCAGGTGAAGCAAGATCCGCCCTTTCAGTGCATATGCTTGGATTGCCCTTCAGGCGCCGAAGAAGTGGAAATAATATTGCTGCCTGCACCAAATCGGTGACTGCTTGCGCCAAGTCACGGGCACACTTTGTCCTAACCTCAATTTTAGGGTTAGGTTTAGTTTCAGGATGAGTTTTAGGGTTAGGGTTAGGGTTAGGACAGGTTTAGGTTTAGGTTTTAGGTTTTAGGTTAGGTTAGTTTGGACGGAGTTGGACATGATGTGCACGTGACTTGGTGCAAGCAGTCACCGATTTGGTGCAGCCAGTAATTTTATGCCGAAGAAGTGCACCTGTCGTGTTTGACGCCACTTGATGTGTACGTGGTGGCCAGAGGAGGCGCACGCAAGGCGCATGTGCACCGGAAGCAACTAGCCAGGTGGCCCCAAATCGGCAATGTATGTGGACACCTGCTAGTTCGCAGGACACACCATACTCCTGGTATTACTACTCGCAGTACCAGTGATCGCAGTACAACTCGGAAGCTCAGCAGAAAGTAGCGCCATCCCTCTGGCACGTGTGCTGGAAGTCTCCAAGCCTTCCAATCTCCAAATGTCCGCAGCTTCAAGTTCATCCCTTGAATGGGGCCTGTCTCTTCTTCTGTGCACATGTGAATCTGCCATAGACGCATGGATCCGTGGAATGTCTGTGCCAACTGTGTCCTTGTGCGGACATCCAGCCATGCCCTCCTGCAGAAGTATGTTGGAGAAGGGTGGACGCGACTCGTGAAGGATGTCCTGTGGCGGGACACACACGGACTGGACCGCTGGGGCGCCCGCGCGACGGACGATGACCCCTCATATCACGAGGTCTACTCTGACGAACTGAGCGCCGCAGGGGGGGACGTGCCCCTCGCCAACAGGCGGCTCAAGTCGCTTGGGCTGTCGCCCCTGGAGTACATTTACGTGAAACCTGACCCAACCATGCTGGACATCAACAAGGACCTCGAGCCGGAGTGAAGCTGATCGGCAACTTGCTCGGCATCAGCCGCCGCCCTGGGCTTGTTGCGATCCCAGGCGCCGCCCCCTCCCCGGCGACGTCCTTCAGCAGGCACTCAAGCGGACATTGCTGCACCAGCGTAGCAGATTTCGGCATGCCGCCGGCCCACTCACTGCCGCTCGTGAAAGGGGCTACTGTGTGGAATGCCGCTTGCGTGCTGGCGTGGCCATGCGACACAGCACCGATTCCACTTGGGACACAAAGGCCTGGCGTGTGTCGCAGCAGGTGCCCAGAAGGCTAGCGCACGCTTGAACGGGCGCCAGACGATTGGACTGGGTGCCATGCGGTGACACCCCGGGCAGCTGACAGATGGACTCTTCGTTGTCAACACAAAGAGCAAACGAGTGTCCAATGTGGGAGCACCTGCTGCCCGCACGCTTGCCGTCAATGTGCGGAATTGACGGAATGTAATGGAGTGAATGTGTTTAAATCGGGATTAGGGCCGTTGGGAGGGAACTTTGGACGGCCAACGGGAGTGTCCGTTGTGGGCACACTTGGATTCGGTGTGAATGGCGCTGCCACTACGCAAACTGGGTATGACTGGCTCAGTGAGAAAGTGTTTGGCGCAACTCTTAAAGTTGTGGCCAGCTTATGGGCAGCGACCCTTGTTTCAGGGCGCGGTTGGTGATAAAGTCCAGGAAACCGAACTGAGCACAGTTTTGCACGGCTGGGAACGCAGTTTCGAGACGATCCGTGCAAACGGGGAACTTGGGACTAAAGGTTGGCGAAACGAGTGTGTGGCTATCTCGTTTTTCGCTCCCGCCCACCTCATCCAAGGTCATTGGCTTGAATTTTAATGTAAGGAGAGACAATTGGCAAACTGGTGTGACGGCACTCGAAGGTGTTAAAAGTGCAGATATTCTGCGTATGCATTCTGCAGTTTTAGAGTAGATGGTAGGCGCCCCGAGTGTGCCTTCCTTACCCGAGTTAACGCAAAGAAGGAAGTCTATAAACGGGTGGGCAAGGCCCCCCGAGATTTAACGACCAATACAGCGTATTCGATCAGTTGTGGACTCATCGATTGATCAGTTTGGCAGGATTAAATTGCCATGGCGTCGCGCCTTTGGCAGATGGCCGCCTTTTCCGCCGGTGTGAGTCCAACGGGTACTTTTGATGGTTCCTGGAATTGCCAGCTGAGGAATGTGAACGCAGCAATTGTTTAAGCAGTGCTTCGAGGGGGACAGGCGGACGAGACGTAAATAGCCCACGCCCTTTGTACTGCTGCTTTTATTGAATTGTCGACCACTGTCGTTTGAGGTGCAAATCACAACAAGCAGCTGCAGCGAGCTGCCTAATGTCGTGCTGCAGCCGATGTATCATCGACAACGCGAAAGAATTGCACAGTACACCAACACCCAAAACAACCCCACCAAGGAATCGACCCAGCGCCATGCGGTTGCAGCATGGATCAAGCGCAGCTGCTCCATCTGCAGTGCGCTCCTAGCCTAAGGCGGGTAGTATAGACCCAAGAATAGACGTAAAAATAGATGGTCGTTCGTGTATGGCACACCCTGCTCCCTGGGCATCCCATTCCAGGTGTTTCGGCAATGAACCTCCTTCTAGTCCCCCAAAACTGCGCCGCCAGCAAATCTGGTTTCGGCGCCATCAGCAACGATCCAAATACCTGCAATGAAGCACTTGATTCTCCTTCAGCTATCCATGCCCACTGTCGCACGCACGAGGCAATCAAATGCAATAAAATTATCAGTCTTCGATAGTATGAATGACAGGAAAGCCGAACGACGCTGTGCATAACTATCTCGCTTCAATTTTACGCCTCTTGGACCTCTGCTGAAGCTGCCCTGCCCTGTCGGTTGCCCTTCTCTTGGACTCCTGCACAACGGCAATGAGGGCACATTAAACTCCTTGCTGTGGGCTGCAACAAATGGCGGAGTCGAATATAATGAGAGTGTGCTATCTGCGAACAAGAGGATGTTCCATCATATATTCGTCCATCCTGGCCCAGCTCGGGTGTGCGCTACCAAGAGGTGGATTCGAATAGGATGCATTGGAGAATCGCCATCAGGGGGATGGCACGATGTGATGCACCGTTGAGACCTATGCAATCTGAACAACAACGACGACACACAAGTGCTGCGCACCTGCCGAACGCGTTTGGGCCGCTCCGGCAGCTCGCAGTGTCTCAGAGGGTGCTCATGCCGAAGCCCCCTGGAGTAGCATGACTGGCACAGCCTGAACTCGAGGCACTGTCCGCACTTCCAGCCTGCCTCGTCCAGCTGCTCCACCTGGCAGGCTTGGCACACGGGTGGCAGCAGCCGGCCGCCTGGGCACAGCATGTGGAATATGATCATCATTGTTGAATGCTTGGCCTTCCTGAGCATGTCAAATTCGTAGTGGTTCGCCCGGCACACCTCCAAGAAGAGGTCCTTCGTGCCCAGGATCTTGCAGGGGATGTCCACCTCCTTGATGAGCTCTCGTTTGGGCCCGTCGCCTTGTGCCTCCTTTGTGGACATCTCGTGCGAGTCCAGCTTTGGGTGGGGGCTGGACTTGGCAGCGTTCTTGGCGAGCGATGCAGTCCCTGGCTGCTGGGCCCTCACATCGGTTCTTGGTAGGTGGAGTGCTGGGGCCCCTGTCTGCTGGCCCCTCCCGTTGAGAGCAGGCCTTGGCTGCAGACGGAAGATCAGGAAGTTGGACCAGTCGTTGGCATACTTCTTGTTCTTGAGCACTTGCACCAGCTGTCGGTCCAGGCGATCGACACCCAGGTGCTTCTGGCCAGAGCCTGCCAGCAGCTTTGCGAGGATGACCTCCATCTCATCAGCGAGATAGTCCCCATCGAAGTACGGGATCTCCATAACAGCCTTGCCCGGCTGTGCAATGGAAATAAGCTTCCTGAGGGACATCACCTCCGTCACTGTTCCATTGTCCTGTGCCTTGCGAGCCAGGTCCAGGTACCATTCCCTTAGCTGGGACTGGCTGGGCAGCTTCTGACTCCTTGGACGACAGTTGATGATGTAGTCGTTGTGCTCCCCTTCGGGCGGGCATGCCCAAACGTACATGGAGTGGTAGCCCTGCGCTCTCACGTACTTGATGTAGGTCAGCAACACTTCATGGTACACCAGTGTCCGCAGCGCCTCACCTCCGTTCCCAATGGCTGCCTTTGTGTTTGGCCGGAAGTACTTGACTGCACACCACACTCTCTTGTCAGGTCACCATTCGTTCACAAATCAGAAAAACAGCTAGCACAGGCAGTCAGCCGGCAGCCAAAAAGGCAGCTATCTTTTGGCTGAATCATGATGCGTCTGTTGAACACTGAACATTCTCCAGGTTTTAGCGCTCCCCAATTCCCAAGCCCAGACCACTGAAGAGCTTAAGAATTTACAGCAAAGAGCCCATGCTGTCAATATAAAAACGTCAGTTTCTTCAGAAGACCAAGTGTGCTGTAGTTCAGCGGGTGCCAGCTGAAAAGAAGCACATTAAATCGACACAACCCAAAGACAGGTGCACACCCAGCTCAAGAACACACGCACCTGAGTCAACATACGCAAGGTAGACCCAGCCCCTGCTCTGCGAAGGTGCATTCTGGTCATACTCCTGACCAAACATTGCAAACAGCAGAACATCCACCCCGTCCAGCTTCTGAAACACCATAATCGCTCTCTGCCGGTACATTAGCTGCGCCTGCACTCCCGATCCCCCAAAAGCCCTCTGGTAGTTCGGTCCTGTGTTGCAGGTGCGTGGGCTGCTGTACACGACCCGCACAGTGATGTCTTGAGCCTTGGGCACCTCAGCTGCTCCCAGTGCATTGCCCTGCCTCGTCCTCATGGCGTGCTCCCTGGCCAGCAGCGACTTCACTCGCAGCTCGATCTCATCGCTCAAGGGGGTAGTTGGCAGCCTTGCTGCAGACAACGATGGCCCCTTGTGCGGCGTGGCGACCCCGGCGCTCCAGTCTGCGATCCTGCAGTTTGGGCACAAGTACGAACAGTCCTGTGCATTCGCTTGGGGATTGAACAGCCCGCACACCTGATGCACCCAGGCGCTGCACCGGTCGCACTGAACCCATGGCTCCTCTGCCCTTGGGAACAGCTTGAAGCTGAGCTGCTGTTGCCCGCAAACGCAGCACTCCTCCTGCCCTCCAGTGGGGGGCGTCAACGTGTCCCAGGAACTTGCCCTCACAGCTGCAATGTGGGCCTTTATGTTCTTCTCCGGAAAGCAGTCTATCAGCGACAGTGGGAGGCCCCCCTTCGATGTTCGTCTCTTGGCCATCAGCGTGGCAGTGCCATAGCATGACTTGTTGTTGGGCTTAGCAATCGACTTGAAGAGATAACGCTTCCCTTTCCTGGGTTTCCCTGGCGACTGCGGATGGCCAGTAATCTTCTGTCTTGCCAGATCTGACGGGGGTCTGCCATCCACTGTCCTTGGGGCGCTGCTCTTAACACTTGGGGCCCCCGGCCTCTTCAGAGTGACCTTCAATCTGTTGGAGCTGCTGCGACCAGAAGCATTACTTGTGCCCTCCTTCGACCTCACCTTCCCAATGTCTGTCTTCCTTGCCAGGGCATCGGCGCTCCTTGCAACTGCATTCTGCTTTGCTTGCTTCAATCGGCTTCTGAGGCACTGTTCTTGAGCATCAGCCGTCCTGGGCTTGGGTTCAGTAACGTCACTCTCGGTGGCTCTTGACATGGACGGTACCAATGAACTAGGTGTTCTCGAACTTAACTGATGGCTCCCAGATGGCTGTGGACGCCACACCTTGGGTGTGGACGCCTGGTGCATCTTGGCAGCAGATGCTGCTTGATGGCAACTGCTCGCTTCACTGCCAGGCACCTTGTATTTATTCTTCCCAACAGTGCCTGAGCTTTCATGCCTTGGGAAATGCCGCTCCTTGGTATTGCGCACTGCAGGTTTGGCCTTGAACACTGTCTGCTTCTTAATGCCCAGGTTGCTTGTTACTGACTGCGAGGTCTTGCTTGAAATCGCCAAATGCTTGGATGTGTGTACCTTCTGTTGCGAAGTCCGCTGCTTGGAGCCTGAAGGTGGCACCTTGCACACCCCGTTGGGTTTGTTCGTGGTTGAAAACTTCGGTTTGGCCTTCTTTGTTCCAGGAACTGTTTGCACCCTGTGTTCCATGTGTGCGCCTTGCATATGCGCATCCTTTGTTGGCCCTTTACTTCCATCCACCACAACAGACGATGACTGCTGCTGAAACACTTTCACCAACTTTTCCGTAAGACTGGGCCGTGCAATCGTGATGTGATGATCCCCTTTTTCATGCACGCTCAGCTGAACCCCAGGATGGTGCTTGATGCCACACCTCCCGGCTTTGGATCTTCTTTCAGTGTCCGGCAGAGGGGGTGGCTGGGCAGAAGTTGAGGGCCCATCCCCCTTGCAGCTGGCTTTGGTTGAGCCACATCCCTCCTTTGGCTGTGTATTGCTGCAGTCACACTCGGTGTCATCGCTTACCAAACGAATCCTCGTGATGTGAATACTCTTGACCTCCACTACGCTCTCCATTTGGTTTCCATTGCCATCAGACGGATGCTGTGCGAGGCTGCTGGTCACAGTTGTCCCTGTGGCGCACTTCTGCCGTAGCTTAACCTCAGATTCCTGAGCCTCAGGGTGGCCCACCTTGGCACGGTCACTACCCAGGGTAGATCCTTGCAGACCCTCGCCAGGCCGCCTGTCCCGATCTAGGTGCAACTTCGCAGTGCTGACAAGCGTGCTCGCCTTCAAATCCTGCGCACAGGCAACCTCTTAGTGTCAACACAGCCCGCCTACCACATATCCTTGCAACGATCGCCAGCTAGCGCGGGTGCAGACGATACAAATTCACACACAGCCAAGGGAAGTGCAAATCTGGAATCTTGTCAGCCCAATCACCAGGGACCCTAGGCAGAGGATATCGCCCGCTTCATGAATTCAATCAATCACGAAGCCACTATTCACGACAGGCTAAGCGACTATTCACGACAGCCCCGTCACAGCTGCCCCACAAGCTGTGAGACCGCCAGACAGAATGCAAGCTCCAACGTTCCAAGACAGCGACGTGCTGCAATTCAACGCTTGTGCGCACCACGCCGGGTGGGGTGGGTGGGTAGGAGGGCCAGTTCAGGTAGCGCCGCGATTCTCGCGCTTCTTGCCGCCAGGGCCGCACACCGCAACCCTCAGGGCAGCGGGCGACGCGCCAAAGCAATGCAACGCCTACGCGCGACTCGCGCCCCACCTGACCGCCCTTCGGCTCTCTCTTGGCAGATCCTTTGCCCCCACTCGTCGTCTCCCCGCCAGCGCCACCGCCGGCGCCGGCCGGTCCAGCTCCGCCGGCCGCGCACCGCCGATCCGACGGCCCCGCACACCCCTCCTCCTCCTTCCCGCCCATCGTCCCCTGCCTGGCCTGCTTGCGGCCCTCCAGTCTCCCCCCAGTCTCGCAGCCAATCCGCCCCCCTTCTCCAGTCCCTTCACGACCTCTCTCCGCGGCTTCGCCCTCCGACGACCGTACGGTCAACCCGGCGGCATCCGTAACTGACCCGTCCTCCAGCACGCCTTCTCCCCGCCCCACCCCCCCGCCGTTTGACCCAGAATTCCGGCGCTCGATGATCGCCCCCGTGGGCTCCCACGCCATCTCCCATCCCGCCGGGTCCCCCTCGTCCTCCACGGCGCCATCCGCCGCCGATCCGCCCCTGCCCTGCGGCTGCGGCGTGGGGGAATGGGGCGGGGCGAACCCGCGCTGGCCATGCATTCCCCCGTAGCTGCGCCAGCCGCCGGCGCCCGACACCTGCGGGCTGCGCACCATGGGCCGGGGCGCAGGCCCGCAGCCGCGGTAGCAGCCCCCGAAATAGCCCTCCGACATCCAATCCGCGCCACTGGTCCCGGGCTGGAGTCCGGGGCCCCCAGGATAACGCGCACCCCCCCTCGGGCGTCCGATTCCCCACCCGGCGCCGCACCCCCTCCCGCGGGCGTCCCCGCGCCCCGGCTTCGCCGCAGCACCCGCGCCGCCCCAATCGGTCCCCCCCCCGCCGGCGGGTCCGAAATCCTGCCTCCAATCCGCGCGGCAGGGGCCGGAGCCGCCCCGCCGAGGATTCCCGCCTCGGGCATTCCGCGCCGGGCCCCCCGCCGTCCGTCCGTGCGCCCAGCCTGACGACTTCTGGTCGGGCATCTTGGAGGCCGCCCCAGGCGCCCCCCCCCCCCCGAGTAGGGAGTCGGGATGCGCCGCCGATGGAGCTTGCTGTCGGGGCCGACAGCCCTGTGGCGCGGCGGGGGCTGTGGCCTGGCAGGGCGTGCCTTCCCCGACGCTGCGCTCGCGGCTGCGACGTACGAACGAGGGAAGGAAAAAAGCGGCCGCAGCGAGGTGGGGTTTCCAGGTTCGTTCCAACGGGGGGGGTGACGTGGGGCGCGGCCATTCGTGTGACGGATCCAACCTGGCGGCGGGATCGCGATGGGCAAAAAGGGGCCCGGCGACCCGATGGGGGGGTTCAGCGGGGAACATCGAGGGAAGTGCCCCTGGAGTTCGGCGTACTTCCTGACGCCCGCACCGTGAGTGGTGTATTGCGAACGCGACGGGGTCGTTTGGTGCGCCCAACGGTAAGGAGGGCCATCACGCGGGCAGCGGCAGGGTGCCCGGTGGATTTGCGGCACGATGGTTTTTGGCGGCGGGTGCGTAATTACTGCCGCTCTGGCGGGGTGATCGCCTGTGCGCTCGCAACGGTTGGTGTTGCTGACGGGCACTTGTGTTTGACTGATGCAAGTATGCAGAACTCGACGGCAGGCGCGTGCATGGGGTACGAGGACTGCGGCACTTTGAAAATTTTTGAAGAAAAAATTGGAGTTGTGCTCTTGTTGCGGGTGCTAGCCCCTCGGACGCTAGCCAGACTGATGATCATTGAGAGAAAGTTGTGTTTTGTTACAATTTTTCAACAAACATTGGAAATAATAGATATTCACACGTGATTTGTTACATGCAGTCTAAATTTTCTACACGCTGTACGCTATTGTATTACCAATTCTTCTTCATGCGGCCCAAAATGTGCTTTGCGCAAGTTGCAACTAAATCCGGCGTGCAAGTGGTGCCAAGCGATGAGAAGTTCCTGTTCCCAGCGCTCCTCCAAGACGTACAGCACGCTCACAATTGTGAGCGTGCAAGGCGAGAGACCGCCCGTCGTGTCCGTCAGGACGCTGAGAATACGGCCCCTCGCGAAGTGTCGACCCACCATGCAAGCCGGCCCCACACAAAAGCGCTTGCTCGCAACAACAGAATCCCATCATTATTTCGTTCAACTGACTCCCCAACACCGAAGAGCAGACAACGCCAACGCAGCGCCTTCCACTCGCTTTCCACATGGGGCGTTGCCCGCCTCTCGAGGTTCGGGCATTTCTCGTCACAACTCTCTTTCGCCACGCATGTCCCATCGAATGTGCCTCAGCTCATGGTCACCGAAACGACACATAACGCACGCACAGGGCGTCGCTGAGTTGGGCGTTTAACGAATAATGTGCGTGTCGAATCGACAGAAACTGGGCTAAGCTCAAACCTAGTCCCTTTTTCCAGATCCTCTCGTGCCGTGGTCCCGCCCTAGGCGCGTCCTTAGAGCTCAACGCGTTTGACCTTCGATGCCTCCCTTCGTCACCCCGCGTCAAACGGATCAGTCACTCAAGGCCTTGAATGCGCCCTGCCAGCCGACAGCATTAGACCTGTGTGCTGCACACAGGAGAGGCATGCTCAAATTCTGCTATCGGCAAGCCAGCTTCGAAGTACTTCAAATGCGCGCACGGCCCAGGCTGCGTTATCCTTCGCCAATTCGCACAGATTAGATCGTGACTTGAAGTCTCAGCGGCAATTTCTGCACGGTCGCCAATGTTTTCCTCAATCAAGTCCACATGTAAAATCGCCACGATTGGCATCAACCAGTGGACCTTGGCGCCATCGCCATCGCCTCCTAATTGACCCACGCAGTTGTCACTGCCGACCAGCCGTGCAGGACCAGCATTGTAGTTTTGAGCAGGCTTCAAGAACCCATGCGCTTTGTCCTACACGGTTCGCGAGGCCTCCTGGGCACGTGCCCTGGCGCAGCCCCAATATTCTATGCATTGAATGCAAACCCGCCGTGCATTGAACGCCAAGCCATATTCTATGCATGGAATTTGCAGAGCCTGGGATATGTCACCGAATTGGCACTGACGTATAATGCCAATGCAATTTCAGCAGGGATGAAAAATCCGTATGGTGCAACCTCAATACTCGTAGTATTTCGCTTTCCATATTTGAAATAATCTGGATGTGCTCTATTTTCTGTTTGTTTGCTTTTGCAAGCAGGCTACCTCAGATTCTTGACAGCCCATACTCAGATACTTTTGGGTCCCGAAGAGTTCCTGCGAATCGAGGCATCCGCGGGAGAACTCAGTGCAAATCTAAAACCGGTCTCGAGAGTTTGGATACTCTTGTTCAGCGACGCCTTCTCAGGGCAGTCGCCACTCTTGATTTGGGCACGGTTGGCGGGCAAAGGTCAGCGTGAGGTGGAAATCTTGGATGCTAAAAACTCGCCATCGCTCCAGAATTTAAAGAACAAGGGTGAGGCTTGAACGGCCGTTGCTGTGTGCAAATAAGCCGGCATTGCGTAAGCGTTCTGGGGGCTTGCCCCATGACGGACATAGCAACCGCACAAAGGCTATGTCGTTCAAGGTTGGCCCGGAGGGCAGCGCGCCCAGAGGCTAGCGACGACGAGCAAATGGCCTCTGGCGGTCAGCGCAAAATTCCCAAATGCAGCGGACGCTGCAACCAGCGACACAACCATTGCCAATGACTGGATGTCAGAACGAAGAACATTGATGGCAGGAAGGAAAACACCTGTTGCTGTCGTCAGACGTGGCCTCATGCCTGGCCAGATCTCCCCAACTATTTCCCCTCTATTATATAATATTATATAATAATATTATATTAATCTATTTTATAATATTATATAATAATATTATATTAACCCTCTATTTCGCGGTGAAAATATATTAGTCCCTTTGTCTTTTCCGTGAAGATCCCTTCTTCCGCTGACAAGGCTAACGCGGGTCAGTTGGTCAGTGGTTTTAGGGTTTAGGGCTTCGAGACAGGAAGAGATCTTCACGTGGCAGACAGAGCGACTAACTTCATGCCTTTCTCCGCGCCCTGCCTGCATTAAAAGACAAGAATTCCAGCGCACATGGGCAGAAGCGACAGCAGCAGGCCGACACGTCCATCACAGTCCAGCGTTCGTGTGCCGGTTCTGGCGTGCCCCGCTGGATAAGCGGCCCCAGGCCTGGCGCGCTGGAAGGGGCTGTGAGTCGCTGAATGGGCATGTCCCGCTATTGGTGCCGCGCTTGAGGACGTCGATCTTGTGCGATGGGGAAGAAGGCCATCGACTGGATGCGCCGGTTGCGGAGGCTGGTGGATTCGGGCCTGTTCACCACACCCCTGATGTACAACATCATGCGACAGTAAGTGAGCTCCCAGGCCCCGCTCGCTCTCCCCGCCCGGCTTCTTGACTGCGCCAGGGCTGTGTTCTGCCGTCTGTGACGGATGCACAAGCTGTGAAAGAGCATAAATTCCCATCATGTTGGGCTCATTGACATTTCTGGAAGATCAATAGGCAGGAAGAGTGAGGGACTGTTTGAGCGAGCACGCCTTTGACCGAAAATAACACGCATTGGAACAATTTTGGAGGCAGCTGCACAGATTTGTGTCCAAAATTGCTCTGCAATGCATATACATGTACATGCCACATATGTGCCAGTTTCTTCGCAAGTAGCAGAGAGGAGGAAGAGGAGGCGGGATGGATTTGTTGGCCAGCCATATGGCAGTGGTGGTCTCAATTATGTTCTGATGCTGTGCAACAGAGTTCCTCCTGCCGTGCCACCCAAACACAGAGCACGCCCGCCACGGATCGACTTGCCAGAGGACAGACTTATCCGCGCATACTACAGGAAGTACCCGATGGTGAGAGAGGGCATCTGCTTTGATTCATAATACGAAAGTGACAGGTTGGTGATGCTCTTGGAGACTTTCAATGTGCAAGGGGATGACTGGCACTTTCCACCTTCACACCAGGGATTGTCGTTGTGTCTCACAGACCATCTGAACAGAAAAGAACTGTGTCCTAAAATGGACAGTGCCTTGTGAACAGTCTCTTAAGTTAGCAGAATCTGAGCAGGAGAAAACAAGGACCAAACTTGGATTCAGGTTCATCGTGTCTCTGTTTTGAGCTGAAACAGCATCACCTCCTCCTCAAGGGCGGCCAACAGGCTCTCATAGTGCTCCTCAGGACCAAAACAAAGGTTTCTTTGCCCACCAGGCCCATTTCAGCTGGGAAGTTTTATGTACAATCTTCAGGGAGGGTGCCTCCCATCAGACAAAATGCTGGTGTGTCTCACGTTGTGCTTGGACATGGTGCCCCATGCAACATCTATGTGCTTGCACAGTCATGTCAGCATGGAGTTGACAGGAGGCTAGCCTTACTTTGTAGACATCCCAGTTTTACTATCTGACAAAGAGACTTTTTCCATGTCAACTTTCTTGGAACTGTCCCCTTCATCAACATGGTCCTTTGGCACAACACGAGTAGCAGCTCACTACTCTTGGCCACTTCCAGGCTCGAACGGTGCCGATCGATCTCAACAGCTTCGAACCCCCGATTGCAAGAAAGTTTGCGTGGCGGCAGATGGAGCTGATGAAGGATGGCATGAGTCAAGATGAGGCCTTTGCCAAAGTTGAGGCGGAGATGGGCTTGCAGCTTGAAGCACTGAGGTGAACACAATATAACGCTGCAGTTCGTGAACTGCCTGCAGAAGAGAACTGGTCATGAACCTCATTGACAAGATTGCTTGAGGCTCTGTCCCGGGCCAAAAGAAGATGCGAAGTCTTTGATTGCAGGAATCTGCCAGTGTCTGCTACCTGTGCTGTGGGGCACCATTGCTTAATACTTGCGTTGTGCTATGTTGTGACGAGTAGTTCTTACCCCCGGTGATGGTAACACGTAGACTGCCAGGGTGTCAGCCACTCAATAATGAAGATTATGCACATGACGCTCCCACAATAGATCATGGTGCTTGTTGCAGTACAGCACATGCAACTTGGAGACCTATACATCACCACAAAGATCTTGCCAACAGCAAAAGACTTCCCCTGATGGTTGATATGCCATTTTTATAAGAGAATTGCATTGGACAAAATGTTCGCAGCCACCTCCACCAAAGGTGTTCCAGGGTCATTCAACCGACACATTGTAATTAGCGACACTATAGAGGCTGCTTCCAGTACCAAGCATTTGTATTTGGCTTGTGTCTTACAGCCATTGCAGGTGGGCTGACAGAGATTTGTAAGAACATTTTGGGAACAGAACTGCCATGGGACGAATGCGCTTCCTCACCCCAAAGCTGACTCTGGTTGTTGCATTCAGATAACAAGTATGAATAGACGGTATTGTGTGGCACAATGCCATCCCAGCTGTCGTTGGATAAGCACACATGCTGGGAAGCTGAGCTGCATCTGTGACTTTGTGGTTCTGCAGCGCACAGCGAGGTGTGAAGTCAGTGCTTGGTATTGTCCAGTACGAGGAGGAGCGGATATTGGTGGAAGCCATGAAGGCACAGAAATTGAGACCCGTGCAGCCTGCTGGCTGAGTGTTCCACTTTGGGATTCCAAATCTGTTGCATTGAATGTTTGGGGGCCGCATCGCATCCCACAAGCAGAGTAACATGATTTGAGAACCGCGATCCCTCTGTGCCAGTCGCATGAGTGGCATTCAAATGTACGCCTGGTGAATGCAAGATGCTGAGACATCAGATGGCTGCTGCTCGTTGGCAGACAGTACAAGTCGGTTGGATGAGCACGATTGCCCATGGACGATTGGCCCCAAGCAGAACGTCCACTCAAGCTGGACAGGGATACAGCATTTAGATGGATGGAACTGCCTGTTCAACTTGAGTTTTACAAAAGGGCAGGGTCCACAAATGCGAATACAGTGCACTGCACACAAGTTCCACACGCATACCACTAGGCTGTGTGTAATTGCACAGTTTCCCTAGGAGGCACAACACGTTTCCCAGTCAGAGTATCTTGCAGGCAAGAGATCGCTGAGTCACCTTCAAGAGCCGCTCAGGAGAGATTGTGTAGCACTTATTGTACGTGGCCAGCGTACTGCCACAAATTGGCGGAGTGGGCCAGCAAAAGAATTGAGCAGAGAAGACCCCAAACTTTTGTTCCTTGATCCTACCAGATCTCGTGGAGTTATACCACTGTGACCCCACGGATTGCTCGTAATCTGAGCGTGCACTCCTGCTTGGCGTGTTTGAGCAACCACGCCAAGAGCCGGTGTCCCGAGGCAGCAATACATGAGTCTACCACAGCACCCCAGCCGTCCGGCGGCGACCTGCTTTGATCAAACAGCGGATGCGAATAGCCAAATAGCACGCACTAGCGCGAAAACTTGGTCCGTATCCATGAGGGTGGTCCACAGAATGGACAGGTGCCTGAAAGAGCGAATGACGCACACGCCAAGAGATTGTTGCGAGGAAAGCTGTCCTGTACAAACTGTAACGATTACCGTATCTATGCTCGACAATCTGTGGTTCCACAGGGCAGACCATCAAGAACGCAACCAAGTTCGGTGCCGGTCGTGCCTGCAGTGCAAACATTTGCAACGGAGCAAGGAGTCCACTAATATCAGATGCCAGCGCATCACAAGCCAAAAACTGCCAGAGCCCAGGCGTTGCAGGCGCAGCCGTCACCCAGCCGTTGCGATTGCCGCTCGCCAAATGGCGCACATGGCGCTAACGCAATCCGCCGAGGCGAGACACTGGGAGCGAGGGAGCTGAGAAGAGAAGGACTGAATTACCGAGGGGACAGCCTGTGTAAACGCATTGATACGCTAGGTTTGGGCTGTGACTATGTCGGAGGCGGGCACGGGCTCGGAGACGAAATAATATTACTGCCTGCACCAAATCGGTGGCTGCTCGCACCAAGTCACGTGCACACGTTGTCCTAACCTCAATTTTAGGGTTAGGTTTAGTTTCAGGGTGAGTTTTAGGGTTAAGGTTAGGGTTAGGACAGGTTTAGGTTTAGGTTTTAGGTTTTAGGTTTTAGGTTTTAGGTTAGGTTAGTTTGGACGGAGTTGGACATGATGTGCACGTGACTTGGTGCAAGAAGTCACCGATTTGGTGCAGCCAGTAATTTTATGCCCTCGGAGACACAGCTGAGGGAACGGAGTTACAGATAGGTCGCGGACAGGCATGCGCCCTTATAGTCGTACAACCACCTGTCAATGATGGACCAGTCACTGCCATATCAGCATCATTGCAAGACGCCATCAAGATGCTCATTTGTCCATTTTCCGTTCATTTAATGGGCGCGGCGCTGACACTCCTCAAGTACGGGGAGCACTGCGGCGCGCACAGAACGCGACCCACAGCGGCGGCTGCGCTGCCGGACCCGCCTGCGTCCGAGCTCCCGCCTGCCAGGCGAGCTTTACCCCACGGGGAGCCCCGGCCATCCAGGATGGTGTCGAAGAAAACGAAGAAGTCGCAGGAGTCCATAAACAGCCGGCTGGCCCTGGTGATGAAGAGCGGCAAGTTCACGCTGGGGTACAAGTCCACGCGCAAGTGCCTGCGGTCGGGCAAGGCCAAGCTGGTGATCATATCCAACAACTGCCAGAGGGTGGTGCGGTCGGAGGTGGAGTACTCGGCGATGCTGGCCAAGTGTGGCGTGCACAAGTACAACGGCAACAACGTGGAGCTGGGCACCGCCTGCGGGAAGTACTTCAGGGTGAGCATGCTGGCGATCGTGGACCCCGGCGACTCGGACATCATCAAGACCATGCCCTCCGAGTGAGGGGAGGCGGCGCGGGGAGCTGGAGGGGATCGATTGGTGACAGGTGCCACAGACCGGAGGGCTCAATCCATGAACGCGGATGGATGGCTGTGATTCCAGCTGCAAGGCGGCTCGTGCACGTGGATTGGATGGGAGCACAGGCGGGTTGGGCGGGAATCTGGCGGAGCCTCTGCACGTCCGTGGGCGGAAGGAGATGCCAATCGCGCGCCCGTTGCAGTCGCTGACGCTGGGCGGCGCTGGACGGGAGGGCCTGGGGGTGCTGCGGATCAATTGAAGATTTGGACGTTTGGCGACTCAATTGTCAAATGCAACATTCTGTGAATGGCTCAGGCTTGACCGCAGCCCGTGTGCGCGCATCCACCTGCTGGACTGCTTCGGGATCCGGGCTGCTGGGGCTGGGGATTGAGCTTTGGGGTGCTGAACACGGGGCCTGTCCTGTGGCGCCGGGGGGCAGGGGACCCGCATTTGTGAGACAGGCCGCTCGACGAGATGGCCGCCCCTGTCATGCTTGCACGCTGCACATCTCTGTGTGCCTGGCTGGCTCCAGACTCGGATGCTGGTGTGTGGAAGCATGGATCTAGCTGTTGTGTTGGCCAGATTCACATCAAGGAATCATTGAGTGTGTTTCTTCGCACCTTCAAGAAAGATGCAATGCAACAGGTTCTGGCCAGCAACCAAAAAGAGGCGCCCAATACGCTCGCTCTCTGTGCGTACTATGAAGATTGGCTTGTCATGGATCCACAGATGTATTCAACGAATGCAATTGTAAGCAGCACCATGTCCTTGGTGCCTTGGTGCTTGCGGCAAAAACTGATGTGGTAATGCATAGTTGAGATGTGCTGATCGATCGCCTAAATGCAAGCCGCTTTTGATTGCATTTACTGCTATTGGGAAGGCAACCACCCTTGCATCCACAATGCGACGACAGGGCATACACCTCTATCCATCCTCTCGAAATCGGAAAGATTCTGAACCTAGATCCGAGCGTGATGACCATAATCCATGCCATACAGCTGCTGTCAGAAAGCAAGGGGGACGATCAGCACATGTGGCACCCAGAGCATGTGATACTGCTCGAACGGGGTCTGCTTGGTAGATTTGCGCAAGCAGAAACACCAGTGCAGGCCCAGGAGAGACCAGGTAGCCATGCAAGTGCAGGCAACCATGTTTGACAACGTAATGAGCAGCGAAGTTTAAACTAAAAAATTGGCTCTGCCACAGAGCAGCAGTCAAGGTTATGTTCATGCCTGGCTGGAGCACATCATCGCTTGGTATGCAGTCAGCCCTGTGCCAATAACAAACTCGACCTAAACAGGGAGTACAACACAAATGTACTGCGTGCAAACAACAGGATCGGTTTGCATGTACCGGCACATATTGGTGGTTAGCTCGTGTGCAGAAATGCTCAAGAATCAAACCCAGTTTCTGCAAGCAATGCCATTGTGAGGCAGCCATTTTTTCTATGGACCTGCAGGTGATTGAGCGCTGCTTTGTGGAGTTGTCCTCTGGGCTTTGCACTTGAAACTTGGCACACTGCTTAGAGTGCGCTGTCCAGTTTATCTCGCAGCACCCGGGAGTGTGCTTCACCTTGGATCCTTAAATATTAAGACCTGCAAGATAGCACTCACAGCATCGTGATATCCACCAGCGCAATTGCCGCCAGCCACAGGTTTCTTGCTGACGTGGATGGGGCCCGGCGCTGTGCCTGTACTGCATCTGCGCAGGATTCGTTCCTATGCGCAACGAATAACCCGTTCCCATTGCTTCATCCCATACGCGTTCAGGCACATGAACCCCTTCCCAGCATCCCAGAGGTATGTACGTCCAGAACCTGATTCACCAGAAATGACGGACCGGATGGAGGGCCACTTGACCGCGCGCGGGCATCACTTGGCGAAGGCATTGAGGGGGCCCAAGAAGAATTCCCTTTCCGTCTCGGACAGGGCGGCAATCACGATTTCACTCCCGGCGGGGTCCTCGGCCGCGTTGAGGATTGCTGCTCGGGCGTTTTCGGCCACGTCCATGTCTGAGTTCTTGAGGAGCTCCAGAAGTTTGGGCCCACACTTTTCCATTATGGGCACCTTGGCCTCAACGTCGATGCTTAACGCCATGAGCGCCTGCGAGGACTTCTTTACCACCGAGGGGATGTTGCTGGACAGCAGGTCCCGCAGGGCTGCAGGGACGCGTGAGCAAATGAGAGGTTGCATCAAATGCGGATTCCGGTTGGGCGATTGGTGTAGGCACCGCGACAGTGCATCGAGAGCCGTTGTGGATCAGCCTCACCAACATGGGCCCCGGCAGGAACAGTGGCCATTCTTGTACCAGTGTCAGTCGGACTCCAAATGGCAGTGGCGCGAGAATGGCCGTCCTGGGCATCTTTTTGAAATTTTGGAAATTCTTCGGAGACTCGAAAATTTTCGCAGTGTGGAATATGCACCTCTGCTGGCCAGGCCCAGCTGCATTTCACGTTCCGTGCAGTACCACCTTTGTAATGCAGCTTTGAGCTCATTCGGATACAAAATGCGGAGCGTTTTACAGTGTAGCAGTTGGTTTTAGGCAGCGTGGTGGCACTGCCCCCATGTCAGGAGCCAAATCCGCGTACAGGGAATCCATGGACGTGGCTGTGTTCATCAACACATGCGGAACAAATGAACATCTATGTGTCTACTCGCCTTGCGCGTATTGGGTTACGCCAGATGCCTCAAAACTGGGTGTTTCCACTGAATTCAGCAGTCGACAATCAATTTAGGATACAACAGTCCACACAGAATCAAGTAGTTTAACAAGATTTTAACCATTAGTGTTATCGCCATCTCGTAAGTTTTCAACGCCTCCTCACTCGGCTAAACGGAAACGAGCGAACAATTGCCTGAAGTGCTCAGCGATCGACAAGATCCCGGACTCAATACATAGCTATGCTCTGGTGCGCATGGCCCTGCACAAGGCCACATGAATCCCTGCAGCGAAATGAAAAGTAGCTGAATTTTGCGCAAACGCGATCAGCGCGGTACGTCAATCCATCAGTATTGCTCGGCGTCGTCACGCGCCACCGCAGCGTCGGTCATTTCATCGCTGCCATTTCGCATAACGGGATCGACACTACCGGAGGCCCTTCATTCTGCATTAAGTTGGGGGTCTGCAGTATGTTTTCCTTCCCCAAGGAAACTAAAGAGATCTGCATTGCAGCCAGTCGTTTACGATCAGCGCCCACAACCGGTCAGTCCACTCATGCAGCAGGTGCCCTTTGCCTGCAGCTGAACTCGCCGGTTCTCTTGGGATCCCCGCTAGTCAACAAGCCCGCAGCCGCGCACGGGGCGCCATTAGGAGCGCGTTAATGGTGAGGGAATTTTCCCTCACCCAAACGCCGTCGCGCTTTCGCAGCGGAATCCACCGCTCACCTTCAACCCCCCCGCACTCCGCCACCGCCACCTTGCCGTACGAATTCCTGCTCATCTGCTGAAAGCACTCGGCGCAGGCATCCATCACGGCCTCAAGGTTCGCCCTTTCCGCCGGGCCTCCCTCCTCCCCGGCCGTGCGGAGCGCCCTGGCCGTCAGCTGGGCCGCACACTTGGGCAGCCCCGCCCTCAAGGCGGCGTCCACCCCCTGCTCAACTGAGGCCAGCAGAGAGAGCGTGGCAGCCGCGTGGCGGCACGCGTCCAGCGAGGCCTCCGGGCTGCCCGCCAGCCCCACCAGGGCAGGGACCACGTCGGCCGCGCGCTCCAGGACGGCCAGCTTGCCGTCTTGGCTTGACGCCAGTTGCTGTTGCAACAGCGACGTCCAATTGAAGCAGACGCAGCAGCAGCATCAAGCATTGAAGCAATAGGATGGAACAATACCGGTATAAGCACTGGAATATGGAAGAAATTGGCTTTCTGTCATGCAAACACCGTAAGCGCCGTAGTCTCATCTTGTCGAATGTTTGCTACGGTAGTGGCAAATTCTTGTCGCAAAGAATCGACACGCCCAGGCAGTTGCTGGCGGACGAGCGTGCCCCAGATTTTCTTTTCCATTGATTGTCGAGGGTCATTAAAATGAGGCGCCACAATGTCTCTTTGCTCACAACGACGCATCATGATTGACCGCTGATCATCGACAGCCAATGACCCCATTGGCATTCAAGTTTCAATCAATCGCAGTCATTTCCCACCCTCAAAGCGGACGCCGCCTCAACAGGAACCATCTCCAGATTGTTTTTGAGCTCCATGACCCCGTTGTGCCTCACAACGGCGAGTCTCCCTTGGCCGATGCGGCAGATGTGCTCCGCCGCCACGCAGCTGAGGCGGCGGACCTCCAGATCGCTGCCCCGCATGCCCCGCGTCAGATGGGAGGCCGCGCCAAGGGACACCGCCTCGGCCTTCTTTTCCTGCGCATGAAACCCGCCATTGGTTTGATAGCCCGATCAGTTGCTAACTCCC